CATTTATAAAATACAATGTGAAAGTTGTAATAAATGTTACGTAGGACAAACAAAAAGAAATATAGGGGTCAGGTTTAAAGAGCACTTAAGAAATATTAAAAATCAAGAAGTTGAGAAATCTCCAGTGGCTGAACATTTATTGACACATAATCACTCCATTAAAACCATAAAACTAATTCAAAACGTAGATAATTACAAAGAACTTAATATCAGAGAAGCAATAGAAATGTTTAAAAATAAAAACAATTTAATTAATTGGGATCTTGGCCCACTGAAAAATTCATTATTAAACTTGTGTAAACTGGCAAAATGTGATAATATTACTTAGTGATGACGTCACTAGGTGATAAAGTCACTAGGGGTATATAAGGGAGTTTTTTCTAGTCGGAGTGTCAGTATGTGTTTAGCGTTGATAATGGTAACATTGTTTCCGAAATACGTATCCGCGACTTTTCATTAATTTTTTTGTGGCTTTTGAGTTTAATATTTTTAATATTTTTTAGTTTTTTTAAATTAATAATATTTTTAATATAGTTTTAATTTTACTTAATTTATGTATTTTTTATTCAATAAGTCATTTTGAAATTTGTTATTTCAAGGTGGCCGGCGTGTTCGATACATTTTTTTTTTTGTTGTTTTACTTTGTATGTAGGATAGTGATAAGCGCATTTTGTCCGGTGCGTACCGGTTTCTTTTTTGTTATAAATAGTCGAACGATGTCTCGTCGTCGAAAAGGACGGCACGACGTGCACGCAAAACATGTGTATACAAAATAATATAAACTAAGTTAAAAGTTTTATATCGCGCTTATTAATTAGATAGTTAAAAGTAATTCGAACCTTTTTTATACAGTCCACTTTGAAAACGTAACAGGTACATTATTGAACAATGAACGGTCCCAGAACTTACTAAAAATTGTTCGGTTATTTATTGAACGCTGAATTTTCCTAGAACTTATAAAAAATTACACGGTTCATTATTGAACATTGAACTCTCCCAGCACTCATGGATCGCTTGAACCGACCGTGAACCAAAATAATGCTACTCGGGTTTTGAGTGCATGTTGAGACTGTCTACAATCTTCTAAAGTCGCTGTCTGACTGAATTACTATTTTAGAAAATGAAAAATGTAATGTATCAACAGTTGTAATAGCATTTAATAATGTTCGAAATATTATTCAAGAACAAATTCAAAATTGAACTCTAATAAAAAAGGAAGAATTTTTATTATTACAGAAATTAGAAAATAGAACACAAATGGCAGTTAAAAAATTTTATTTAGCCAGCCATCTTTTAGACCCAAGAAAAAAAGGTGAATTTTTAAAGAACAATGAAAGTATTGATGCTGCAGAATTTATATGCAACTTGGTAGAACATTAGCAACTCAATATTCCAGATATCAAGTCTGAACTTGCTGAATATCGTTCAAATAGTGGGCTATGATCTAAGGCATTTGTTTAGGATAGTTTAAAGACTCATAGTGATGGAACACAATTTAGTCGTATAACATGGTGGAAGGATATTTGTTCTTCAGTTAAAATGTCAACCATTGCAATTGCTATATTAGAATGCTCCCCCACATCTGCATTGACAGAACGCAGTTTTTCAATGAATGGTCTTGTTCTTACAGCTCAAAGAAACTGATTAACAAATGATCGAGCATCTAAACTAGTGTACATTAAACATAATTTAAAAATTGAAAAAGATTTGAAGATTAAAAATTTAAATGGCAACTGTGAGTGATGATCAACATTATAATAAATTCACTGATTTCAATTCTCATCATGAAAATGTAGGAATGGAAGGTGGTTTAAGTATGCGTGACTCCATTTCAGATAACGAGAATAAAACAAATTAACTATTTGATGATGTCATGGAAATACAAATTAAGATTATAAAATACTTTATAAAAATTAATTCTTAATAGTTTGTGATACTAAAATTTATAAGCGATAAGGTTTAAGGTATTTTTTTAAGGTAAAAAATGTTAATACAATTGTAGATTTTAAGATTACTATAAGATGCTACATTTTAATTTTTAATAGTTTATTTAAAGGATAGAATTTGTTTTTGTTAAGAAAAAGTGAGTTTTATTATTTTATTTATTATGTTATTAAAATTTTAAGTTTTTAATGTGGTAAAATTCCAATTATGTATTTATACTTGTTTAAAAGGGCAGATTTCTCAGAACTTTATCATCATGGGTGGTTTCTGGTTGCAAATTGACTATAGTTGGTACTTAGTTGATACTCAATCATCCTCTAGACATATAGGGATAGAGAAATATCTTAATTCAGTACTTTAACTAATTACTCCTTGAACATTTTGTCTTCATCAATTTTGCTAAAGACTTTTTCAGTAAATACTCATTTATTTATTGAGTTTTATGAAAAATAATCTCTCTAAAATGTATTTTTTTTTTCTAATTTTAAGGTGTCACAAGGTTTTATACGGTATTATACAGTATTATATGTGTATTATACGATATAACAAAAAAATAAAATACTATATTTTAACAACTCTATTTATGAATAAACATAATAAGTTTTTATTATACAATTTTAAATTGAAAATTTTCATAAAATTACATAAAATCATCAGAATCATAGCCAGAATAATCAGTATTTGCAGTCATATTTTCAGTTTTCATAATAGACGTATAAGATCTGTAAAAAGAAATAAGGTAATATCAAATTAATATAATTTAAATGCTTTACGAAGAATTTAACTAACAATGGTGTAGGACATTATTCATGCCAAATGTGGTTAAGGAAAAAACGCATCATAGAATAGCTACTGTAGCTATTACCGGAACAGAATCATCACTGTGCAGAAAGTGTGGAACAGAAAAGGAAGATTCATTGTGAATATAACACCCTGGTCATATTAAGATCTAAACATCTGAGAAAAACTTTTACCGAAAAAGAAGATATCAAAAACTCGAAAGCCAAAGAAATATTTTATTTCACTAGAGTGACATGAATTTTTGAATATATATTCTAGTAGGTACATCCTAGTAGGACGTCTTATATATATATATAGATAGATAGATAGATAGATAGGATAAGGTATGAACATATAAGAAAAGAGTATAGGTGTAATAGTGTGAATCGTGGATACGATGAGAGAAAATAGACTTAGATGGTTTGGTCGTGTTATGAGGAGAAAGGAACCGAAAACTGTAAGAACAGTTATAAAAATGAATGTTTAAGGAAGAAGAGGTTGGAGGGAAACCAAAAGATAGATGGAGAAATGTTGTTTAATGCGAGGACGGCTAATATATACGTAGATGATGTGAGAAATCATGTCAAATGGAAGTTTAGAATAAGAGAGAAGCCGACCCCAAGTAATTGGGATAAAGGTGAAGAAAAAGAAGAATATTGATATTACGTGTCCTTATTAACCTTACATATTAAGTGCACTATTGTTATATTAGTCAATCAAGATGTTTTAGTACATTTAATCTCATTTATTTATAAAAACCTAATATTATCGTTTATTTTTACCTCTATACATTAGAGTGGTCCTTAATGTTCAATATTAAATTTTTATCAGTCTTACCCACCAAAATCGGTTCATATATGTATAAAAAAAAAAGTGTACAAACTTGGAGTCAATTGGTTAAAACCGTGCCATTAAAGTCGAAGAACACTTTTTTGCTGAATTAACCATGTTTTTTTTCAGTTCTTAATTTATATTTCATTACAACTTATTCATATAAAAATATGCATAAAAATTAATCCATATAAAAAGCTAACATCATTTAATTTTTCACTGCCTATTATATCATCTAGTTCAGTTTTTAAATCATTAATATTAACTATTGGCCAAAATTGTTGAAACTGTTTAAAAATATAAACATCTGAACCAGACGAAACGACAGAATTTATATCATATGCAGCTTTCAGTATGATTTTATAAATATGATGCCTACAGGTAAAATAAATAACAACACGTTCTAATAACTGTTCAAAAATTATACACGCCCCTTTTAGACGAACGTACGTGTTCAAAGCTGTTGTATCACAATATACAGCTTGAACATTTTCGATAAGTGCCTATTCCTCAGGTGCTTGAAACACCGCTTCTGTTTGATTTTGACCAGTTCCGAGTATAACAAGCTTTGATACACTTAAAAGTTATTCCGAATTTATAAAAGACACAGTTACTGGTAAACGATCAACAAGTTCTTTAGCTGTTAAATCTGGGAGGATCTTTTCATCCCTATGAACAACAACAGGGTCTACTAGTGATGTATCAAATTCTTTTTGAAAATTATTTGCTCTTTCCTTTCGTAAGCATAGACATAGTTGATTAATAGAAGTTCGATTCATGATTAAATTATTTACGTCAACATCAAAAGCTTCAGCAGCTGCAGACAATAAATGAACTGCATCGCGATTACTTATTTTACACCATCCAATGCACTTGCAAGTTTCGGTGTTATTAAATGTTTTTAACTTTAGAATTGGGGCGCAGAAAGTTCTTGGCATTCAGATATTTTTTCAACAATATCTATTAATTTGTCAGTATCCTCAATATCAATATCGGAATTTAGAGCAGATATATTTTGCACTGTTAACAGTACTAATTCATGGTTTTGCCAAAATACAGTGATCTCTTTTATAATAAGTTTAACACTTTCATATAAGTTAAGTTTGACTTTACGCACATTGAAAAATAATACACGTAATAATTATCTTTTTAAAGGTAATTTACTTCCAATAATTTGATTTTAGTCACATTCGATTAAAAAATTTTTGTCTTAATCAGGAAGGATTATATTTATGTTGATATTAAAGCCATATTGAAAAATAGTAACTTAGACTGTTTTACATATTATTTTAGTAAATATAATAATATTGACAATAGCACACTAATAGTTTGTGACATTAAATAGTAATAAAGTTATACATTTATATTACTGCTTATAAGGTATTATTTATTTACCACTCATGATTCTTGTTTATGTTTAAGTATTATCCTAAAATTTCATATAATAGAACAACTGATTAGTAGGTAACTTAGAATAAATATTTATTGTTTTGGTGTTATATAATCAATGATTTTTAGTGTTTTTTAACCAATTATTCTAAAGAATTTTACAATTATTAAATAAAAACATAATATAACAGTTATATTAGGTTAAATTATATATTACAGCCCTTAATATCCTTATAAATATTTTCAATGAAATATTGGTAAAGAACTTTAAAAAAATGTCATTTAATAAAACACGTTTCATAATTTTTGCGGTCGGGGGCACGGATTAGACTTAATTAATCGACATAAAATTTTATACACATTTTTTTATACCTATTGAAATCTACTTAGTAGGGGAAGACTGAAAAAAATACCTATACATTAAAGAACCACTCTACTATACATGTAAGGTAATATGATCCACAAAAAACATGCAAGAGTAATATAATATACTCATAGAAGTCAGTTGGCGAAACACTTCAATTATCTTATTATAGCTCAGTAAATTCTAATGAATAAATTATTTTAGTTACCTCAGTTCAGCTGCTTCTAGTTTACGTTTTTCTTCTTCACGTTTATTTTCTAATTGGATTTTTCGTTCAGCTTTCTTTCTATCTGCTTCACGACGTTCTCTAGCTGATCTATCACCATCATAATCCATTTGAACGCCACTTTTTTCTGTTTTATTCAATCGATTAACTACAGCTTTATCCTTTTTAACAATCATTTTTTTTACCTAGCATTTAAAAAAAGAAAAATTTTTAATAAGTCATCGTCTCTGTAAAATGGAAAAGTGTATCACTAAACAAGATTTCCTATCAGCTTTTGACAATCTTAAATAACTAGCCTCGTCGGAGTATACATTATAAATATACACCAGTACGAGCTATACCCGCTCACTGTATTGAAATGTTTGTAACTCAATAAATACTTGTCTTAAAACTGTTATTAATCCAATAACATTAAAATATCTAAAAAACGGCTATTTTAACATTTTTAGTAAAATGTATTAGGTTATTATTACTAGTCAGATTTAAAAACATGAAAAGTAATTGAAGGGTACTGTGCAAAGCAAGATAACTTCACTTTTCAAACATTATATATATATATGAATTAGAACAAAATTAAATGTTTAGGTGAATTAGGTTAAACTTAAAAATAAATATTTCAAATATAACACTTTATTTTGTATCAACAATAAAAATAAAAAAACGGTAGCACAGTGGGGTCGCGGCATACTGGAGACATTGCATAGTTGGGTTCAGTATAGATTTAATCTGACAGTGATTAAAATCATTATCATAAAAAACGCTTCGATGCAAATCTGTAGATAGTGTTTAATTTAAAAAAAAAAAATTGTTAAAATAGCATATTTTTGAATATGGAAGCCATTTGCGCATAGAAGATAGGTCGTCGGGACAAATTTTTTTTTTTCATTTGATAGTATATAATATAACCTTTGATTTGATATATGTTTAAAGGACGCAGTATTTCCGGAACATTTTCAAAAATTAAGTTGAAAAAGTTATTTTTTGTAAAAAAGTTACTATTTTAAATCCCCCCAGTGAGCAGAATAAGTGTTAGATTTTCAAAAAAAATTATATCAAATGAAAGGGAAATATCTAAGGTTTCAATACAAAAAAATATTATTTTTATTTGTTCATTTTTGAAAAAGTTATGGCAGTTTTAAGTACAAAAAACATCCCGATAAAATGTAATTTTTATCGCAAACATTACATTTTTTTTTAAATTTTCGACAGCCATTTGCACATAGAAGATAAGATGTCGGGACAAATTTTTTTTTTTCATTTGATAGTATATAACATAACCTTTGATTTGATATATGTTTAAAGGACGCAGTATTTCCGGAACATTTTCAAAAGTTCAGTTGAAAAAGATCTATGTTTTTTACAATATTTTAAGTTTTGAACGCCCCCTATATAAGGGGAAATTGTCCAATTTTAATAAAAAGTATGTCAAATGAAAGATGTACTTATAATGTATTTAGAAAAAAAAAATTTGTGCTGATATATACATTTTTCAAAAAGTTATAGCATTTTTAAGTTGAAAATTTAAAATCGAAAATCGAAAATTTTAACACAAAAATAGTGTTTTTTTAACTACGGCAGCCGTTTAAATGTAGAAGAAGCCATTTGCGCATAGAAGATAGGTCGTCATTTTCTAGTACATAAAATAAGCTTTAATTTGATATATATTTAAAGGACGCAGTATTTCCGGAACATTTTCAAAAATTAAGTTGAGAAAGTTAATTTTTGTAAAAAAGTTGCTATTTTAAATCCGCTCATTAGGGGGGATTAAGTGATAGATTTTGAAAAAAATGATATCAAATGAAAGGTAAATATCTAAGGTTTTAGTATAAAAAAAAAAAATTATATTGATATGTTCATTTTTCAAAAAGTTATGGAAGTTTTAAGAAAAAAATGTGAAAAAATTTCGAAAATTAGCGATTTTTAAATTTGTAATTTTTTTGCATATTTCCCTCATTTGCGGGGAATGAGGGAATTTTTTTCAATTTTTAAGGGTAATGTCTTCAACTAGATACGATTTGTGATCTTTTGACGTATNTTTTTTTTTTCATTTTATAGTACATAAAATAAGCTTTAATTTGATATATATTTAAAGGACGCATTATTTCCGGAACATTTTCAAAAATTAAGTTGAAAAAGTTAATTTTTGTAAAAAAGTTGCTATTTTAAATCCGCTCATTAGGGGGGATTAAGTGATAGATTTTCAAAAAAATGATATCAAATGAAAGGTAAATATCTAAGGTTTTAGTATAAAAAAAAAAAATTATATTGATATGTTCATTTTTCAAAAAGTTATGGAAGTTTTAAGAAAAAAATGTGAAAAAATTTCGAAAATTAGCGATTTTTAAATTTGTAATTTTTTTGCATATTTCCCTCATTTGCGGGGAATGAGGGAATTTTTTTCAATTTTTAAGGGTTATGTCTTCAACTAGATACTATTTGTGATCTTTTGACGTATTTTTGAAAGAAATCGGTCCAGTGAGAGCTAAGAAAAAGTGGCAACAGACATAAAAAAAAAAAAAAAAAAAAAAAAAAAAAAACACATCATAGTAAAATTAATACCTTCTCCGCTTCGCATCGAAGCTAAAATAAGCTTTTAAGTATAGTATTAAATTCTTAAAATTTGTTAGTCTATTAGTCTGTGTAGGACTATAATTAGGGGTAGGCATAAATGCAATTCAATATTTGATATTGGCTAATAATTTTGATATCAGTTTTTTAGCTTCGATGCGAAGCTGGGAAGGTATTGGTTTTACTATGATGTGTTTTTTTTTCTTTGTGTCTGTTACTTTTTCTCAGCTCTCGTTGAACCGATTTCTTTCAATGATACGTTAAAAGATCACAAATTGTATCTAGTCGAAGTCATTACCTTCAAAAATTGAAAAAATTTCCCTCGTTCCCCGTAAAAGGAGGAAAACTAAAAAAAATTACAAATTTTCAAAATTTTTTCAATTTTTTTTTACTTAAAATTGCCATAACATTTTCAAAAATGAACAAATCAATATATATTTTTTTTAATAGATGCATAATATCATTAGGTATATTTTTTTTGTAAATTTGACTCTTAACCTGCTCACAGGGAAAGATTTAAAATGACAACTTTTTCAACTTAACTTTTGAAAGTGTTCCGGAAAGTCTGACACTTTTATATATATCTTAAATTAAAGTTAATGTAATATACTTTATAATGGNCACTTTTTCTCAGCTCTCGCTGAACCGATTTCTTTCAATGATACGTCAAAAGATCACAAATTGTATCTAGTCGAAGTCATTACCCTCAAAAATTGAAAAAATTTCCCTCGTTCCCCGTAAAAGGAGAAAAACTAAAAAAAATTACAAATTTTCAAAATTTTTTCAATTTTTTTTTACTTAAAACTGCCATAACATTTTCAAAAATGAACAAATCAATATATATATTTTTTAATAGATGCATAATATCATTAGGTATATTTTTTTTGTAAATTTGACTCTTAACCTGCTCACAGGGAAAGATTTAAAATGACAACTTTTTCAACTTAACTTTTGAAAGTGTTCCGGAAAGTCTGACACTTTTATATATATCTTAAATTAAAGTTAATGTAATATACTTTATAATGGTAAAAAAAAATTTCGGACTTTATGTTATCTTCACGATGAAAATGGCTACCGTATGCTATTTTTGTGTGAAAATTTTCGATTTTATAATTTACATTTTTTACTTTAAAGTGCTATAACTTATTGAAAAGTGTATGGATCAACACTATTTTTTTATGAGAAATAATATTTTTTAATAATCCCTTTTTCATTCGACATATTTTATCTTAATCAAGATATTAATAAAGAACTAGCAGATCATGTAGCTTTTGGAATAATACACCAATTTTTTAAAATTAAACACTATCTAAAGATTTGCATCGAAGCGTTTTTTTTTTTGATAGTGATTTTAATCACTGTCAGATATCATTATACTTGATCCAACTTTGCTACGTCACACTGTGCCGCGACCTCACTGTGCTGGGTTTTTTCATTTGATTTTTTTTAATATAACATTATAGAAAAAAATTTATTCTAATTAAATAATCAAATATTAGTACAGATTACTTTACAAAAACTTTATTTTTTGCATTATAAATTAAAGAATTCTATATTATGACAGTTTGTAATCTTTAACTTTTAATTTCATACAAACAGAATTGTTTATATAGATTCATATATATTGCTTGTTTTACAAGCAATAAATATATGTTTTATATTATATATGCGTTATATGTTTTCAAATATTCCCGGGAGATAGATCCCACTGTATCAAACCCAGGACACTGTGGGACAAAACATATGTTTCTACCCATTAGGCATTATATTTATTGCTTGTGTTATGAAATTGTAATAAATTTAAAATTCTTGTCATTTACTAATGTGACATATTCTACTGTACATTTGTACAGTTAAAATAATATTTAAGCATGAAGATCAATATGATACACTGCTATATTATATGAATCACCGAATATTTGTAATATATGATACAAAGAAATTACGTCATAGTAAAACTTAATTTTTCACTTTTACATAAAATTAAAAAAAAATTATATTTAAACAAAACTATTATAATGTTTTTGATATAAGATCTTTGCAGAACTTATACAGTGTCCTTTTAGTGAATATAAGCAAGTAGATAATATCTGATTACTTTAAAATACATTCAAACAATAATTAATTAACTTTCCAATAATTATATATCAATCGAGAATCAGGTAGCTAGCAAAATTACATAAAAGTAGTAGTAGTAATATTTTTATAGGAAAGTCCTTTTTTGACCAACTTTAAAAAAAGTGGTAAAAATTTTTTTTTTGTAAATAATGAGTATTCTAGATCAATCACGTGCCTACAAGATTGATTCTATAATTTATTCGTCATCTTATTATTTGAAAAGATACATGCAAAATACTATATTTCTAACCCTTTGAGACACGTAAAGGGGGGTTGATCTAGAATACTTAAAATTTATGAAAAACATTTTTTTACCAAATGAAACAAAATATGGATTTCTCCCATTTGATATTTTAAAGTTGATCAAATAAAGACCACCCTTTAATAATTATTATATAAAGTATAATACAGTTTTCTTACAACATTTGAGTTATGAAATGACACTTCTCCAGGCTTCATTCCAGGGAGTTTTTTTAGGTTTGACCACATTGTATAAACTACAGAGACTTCATGCATTTTACATCCTTTAATACTATTGGCTTTAACCAATTGGCAAGCATCTTGCAACAATTTTTCTGGAATATCTTCTAAGGTTTGATTCTATGATATTCAGTTTTTTAAAAATTAAGATATAAGTCTAAATACTAAAAATAATTTTGGCTTTTTTTAATTATATATAATAATTCACTTGAGTAACTTAAGTAATTATTCACTTCTCAAGCATAATAATAGTTTTTAATTGATTTTTTTTAATTGGCAACATACATATTTAACTAGTTTAAATATTGGATAATTAACTAGTTAAAAAAAAAGGCAGGTAATTAACATTTAAACCAGTGTTTGAGAATTTATTTAAAATAATGGGAATGGAAGTGTAAATATTCAATACTGTATAGATAATTTAACAAGCAAACTCCAGGGTTCTTCTAAAACATTTGATACANCCAGTGTTTGAGAATTTATTTAAAATATAAACACTTTATAATATAGACTAGAAATGAAGCACAGATCGTGATTATTTTTATCATTAGATATTTCTCGGTAATGCATCTTCTCTCAGCTATAAAAACATTTTTATCTTCTAAAATAAGTTGATTAATTGTAATCAACTTGTTATTTTCTGTAGTATAAGTTAATTAAATATGCAAGCTAATATTTTATGATATGAGAACCATTTTAAAAAATATAGAATAAATTTAAAAAGTACTAAATGATAGATAAATCAAGAATTACATTGCTACTATAACAGTACAACAACATCAATCACCAAAAGTACATCTATACAAGTAAGCCAGAAAAAAATATCATGTCACATATACAACTATAATGGCATTGTCATTCATTTTTATTATATAAAATAACCAGTATATATATATATAATATACTGTTGCAATTTGAATTTTGTATAGTGTCTGTATATATTATTTATATTAATATAATTAGTACTTTTGTTGTATTACATGGGAATGGAAGTGTAAATATTCAATACTGTATAGATAATTTAACAAGCAAACTCCAGGGTTCTTCTAAAACATTTGATACATGCTCAGCCTCTTTTTTTTTTTTATGTAAACACAACCTTACCAAAGCACAGAGAGACAGTGGAAAAGTTCAACTGACCACTGAATTTTTATAAAATCTTATATTTGTGTGAAGTTATTTTTTATTATAAATAAAAGCTAAATCAAATGCCCATCAATCTATCACGCAAGATAGAATTAATTTAGCTTTTTGTTACGTTTACATTACAAATATGTCTCAAAAAATATTTTTTTCCTTTTAATAAAAATTAGTAATTTAAAGTAATTTGCATGTGTTTTCAGATAAAACAAAAAAAATTTGCTAAAAAAATTATTGTCAGATTTATAATTACTTTAAAATTATTAAAAGGTCCTACCTTGTGCTTAGACTATCATTGTGAGTTATAAAGAAATATTTAATACTGAATCACTATAAAACATGAAAAACTGTATATAGTAATATTACACCCAAAAGTATAATGGCGAAATTCAAAATTGAATATATTTGAAAATCCAGTTTTTTACTGTCAAACTAAGTGGTTCTCAATAGGGCTTAAATCAAAATCATTTATAAACAATATTATTACATTATACGTTTATATTGATAACTTTTTACCTTATAATAAATTAACCTATCATTACTTACATGTAAGAATTTCAATCATAGGTTTTATGTTAAAAAAAACACTGTATTTTTCGTAGTTATATTTCCCCTAAATTCATTGTAACTTATAAGTTGTAACAAATCATAAAATTTTTTCATTTTCTGTTTAGTTATGATTTTTGTTTTATTTCATTTGTTGTCATATATATTTATGTATGCATTAGGGTGGTCTTTATTTATACTTTGTGATTTTTTTTTTAAATAAATTAGATACCAAGTGATCAGAATTTCGTTCTATATAACATACAGAAATTGGTGAATTTTCAGTGCCTTAGGTCGACCCCTTCAAGTGCCTCAAAGAGGAAATTGACAAAAAGATTTAGGAGTTTTGTTTTTTGTTTCTATCATTTTAATTATTAAAGATAGAAAAAATTCTACAGAATTAATAATGTAGTAAACAATTATGTAAAGAAAAAAGGTCTTTATAAAATTTTTGTAACATTGATTGTTTGACGTTTAACTAATAAAAACTGTTTAATTTTGTTTTTTGTGAAAACAGAATTTTTTGATCTAATGTTTATCTTTATAAATATTGCGAATACAAAAATATTTTCAAAAAAAAAGATAATAACATAATTTTTTGAGTACTACAATTTCAGTGTAAAAATTAAAAAAAAATTTGAATGTATTTTGTTGTTAAAATCTAATATTAAAACTAAAGTTTATTGTAGTGAAAAATTGTTTACTAAACTGGCTTTAGAGAATGTTTGATATTTTTTCCTGTACTCTCAAACAACCTATATAATAAATTAAATATTAATAAATGGATAATAATAGAGAATATAATAATAACTGAATTCTAAATAATTATGTGTGAAGTGATTGTTTTTGATTTTCATTTTTAGTAAATTTTGTATTTAATTCCTCTATCATCTTTAATCCTCGTTTTGCTGTATTGTTAACTACCGCTAAGCCTTTACAAATTTGTCCATTGATATAATGCTCATTTGTGCTCCAACATTCTGGTTTTTCATTTAAAAATGTAGTGTTGATTTGAAACCTTTGGAAAAGTTGTTTTGAATTTGGCGATAGTAAATTAAAATGGAGGTACTTGTTTAAAAAATCTCTAACGTTGTTGGTTTTTAAAATTAATTTTTTTTGTGATTCCCCTTCAAATTTTACATCTTTTTCGTCATTAATGTAGCCCACAATTTGGTTGGCCATTCATCTCTTTATAATTAAATAAATACAATCGTCAAAAATAGATAATATTGAAGTTTCCTCTCCAAGTTACCATAAATGGTTTACACATTTTTTGATAATTAATTCAGTTACATGTGCATCATCAGATCTGTATTCATCAAGAGCTTTTAAAAATAAAATATTATACGGATCTTTAATAGAATTAGGTACCATAAACCAAAATTTTATATCAAAACAACATATTATTTTTAAAGATTTTAATTCAAATAGAATGACGACATTGTTTTTGGAACAAGAACATTTTGAGACAATAAATAACTTTACACATCTATATAACCAAATAGTAAGCGCTTGGTTTTTGAAAATTAATGCCTTTAAATGGTATCCAACTTAAAAATATAATTACCAACTCCAAAAACTCTCTGAAGTCATCTCTTGGTAGATTTCCATTTAAAGTTTTTGTACAGAACTTCAAAATATAATCTGCTACACTTTTCAATGTGTTTTTGAGCTCTATATCACTAGAAAATATACAAAAAGTTGTTTGATCAATTTCATTTCACCCGTTTTTAAATTATTTTAAAAACAGTGATATCTGAACCAGATGTAGCTGTTAATTTAGAGTATAAAAATATGTGTGTTTTTGTCTTTGAAGAATAAGAAATTGCCCGTCTTCTTAGTTTTTAATTCAGTTCATTGTATTCAAATATCAAATAAAATCATTCAGTGAATTTTCAAAATCAATCTCAATTTTCTTTTGAGTTTTACTTTTTCTGTTTGTTTTTATCTATCCTCGCCAAATTTCATATAAATTTTTAATCTTTTTAATAATATTACAATAGTCAAATATAGGTATACTTGCCTTATCCCAAAATAATGAACATTGATTGTGAACATGAATAGAACTGTCATGCAAATTTAATTTATAGTTGCACATATTATAAAATAAAAAACCCAGCATAGGGGGGTCGTGGCACAGTGATGCCATGGTATAGTTGGATCAAGTATAATGATATCTGACAGTGATTAAAATCACTATCAAAAATAAACGCTTCGATGTAAATTTTTAGATTGTGTTTAATTTTAAAAAAATTGGTGTATTATTCCAAAAGCTACATGATCTGCTAGTTCTTTATTAATATCTTGATTAAGATAAAATATGTCGAATGAAAAAGGGATTATTAAAAAATATTATTTCTCATGAAAAATTGTGTTGATCCATACACTTTTCAATAAGTTATAGCACTTTTAAGTAAAAAATGTAAATTATAAAATCGAGAATTTTCACACAAAAATAGCATTTGGTAGCCATTTTCAACACGAAGACAAGTCCAGAGGTCAAATTTTTTTTTACCATTATAAAGTATATCACATAAGCTTTAATTTAAGATATATATAAAAGTGTTAGACCTTCCGGAACATTTTCAAAAGTTAAGTTGAAAAAGTTAATTTTTTGTGAAAAAGTTGTTTTAAATCCCCCCCCTGTGGGCAGATAAAGGGTCAAATTTACAAAAAAAATATACCAAATGATAGATAAAGACATCAAGCATCTATAAAAAAAAAAATTATATTGATATGTTCATTTTTGAAAATATTACGGCAGTTTTTAGTAAAAAAAATTGAAAAAATTTCGAAAATTAGCGATTTTTAAATTTGTAATTTTTTTGGAGGTTTCCCCCATTTACGGGGAACGAGGGAAATTTTTTCATTTTTTAAGGGTAATGTCTTCGACTAAATACGATTTGTGATCTTTTGACGTATCATTAAAAGAAATCCGTTCGGTGAGAGCTGAGAAAAAGTGGTAAGACACAAAAAAAAAAAAAACACATCATAGTAAAACCAATACCTTCTCAGCTTCGCATTGAAGCTAAAACCATAGGCAATCTCTGTTCGAGGGTAATTTATTACCAGTAATTTCACTACACACATTACCTATAAGATATATATTGATAATATTTCACGACATATTATTATGTTTTACAAAACACTATATGCTTTTGGATACACTACTCATTGTTTACTACATTATTAATTCTATAGAATTTTTTCTATTTATAATAATTAAAATGATATATACAAAAAACTAAACTCCTAAATCTTTTTGTCAATTTCCTCTTTGAGGCACTTGAACCTAAATGCTCAAAATTCACCAATATTTTTTATATGCTATATAGAACAAAATTCCGATCACTTGGCATCAAATTTGTTAAAAAAAAGATCACAAAGTATAAATAAGGTCCACCCCAATATATATATATCATATTGTTAATATACCTTTTTCGTTACTCATAATTTGTTTTTTTTTTTACAATTATAATTTTTTTTTTTGGTAATTATAACTTTATAATCATAATGTTCTGAAAAACGTTTCAAGTCATGGTTTTATCAAAACATTTAAGGTTAATTGTTTCAGTTAATTTTAGGTGTGATTCAATATTAATTTTATTTTAGTTACAATTTTTTTTAAGTGTTTAATACATCAAATAAATCAGTACCTCTTTTAATCTTAAGTAAACATGAGCAGATGACATATCTTCAACATGGAACCATACATCCTCAGGTAACATATTTTCTATTAATTCATCATCTAAAATTAAAAAAAGAAGATTGTAATAATACTTTATAAAAAACAATTAAGTCTTGGTAGTCTAATTTTAAAAAGCAACAAAAACACATGTTAAATATTTAATAACCGCTTATTTAACATTCATAAAAATAAAAAATGTTGTTTAAAATATTATATATGGTTATACTTAAAAATTGTAAAATGATTAAGAAAAAAAAATTATAGATTAATTTTTTTGCAACAAAAATGTTTTACTATATAGAAATTATTAAATAGAAAAATATTTTGTTTATTAATTTATGAATACAATAATAAACTAGTGCTTTTATTGAATAAAAAACCAAGCACTTAATTTAAAAATATTAATTATAATTTTTTTTTTCACATACATCCATTGTAATTATATTTGGACATGATATTCTTATTCAAAAACTTATAAATATAAAATATAATGTTTACCCTTATTATAAAAAATGAATTTGAATAACATTTGAAATAAAGAACCTTTTATTAGAACACCTTTTTTAAACCAAAATAATAATAATTACTTATTATCATATGATATTGTATATCAGTACATCAGAAATTCAATCACTATAGATATTTTTCATTGTAATCCATATGGTATAAAATCTGTCTGGTTTTCTTTATAATGTTTATTAAATTATAATATTATTTTATTTTATTATATTATAATAACAATATTGTTTAATTTATTGTTTTCCAATAGTTTCAATGCATTGTTAAAAAGCTATTGGTTTTATTCTATGGTATTGTTTTTTTTTTGTCAGTATACATTACAGGTTCGATATTGCGCTACAATAGTCAAATGTCAAATGGTAACAAAACATATCTAACTGAAAATATTGAAGCAATAATTTTGAAAAACGTCTCTTAATTCCCATAATAAAAAGAAATATCCCAAAAAATTACAGTTGTTTATTAATATTTTTAGTTTTCACTTTATATTGAATTAACTGTTTCATAAAGTTGATATATTTAAAACATTTTGTTTAAAAATTCCACAATTAAAACATGTTATAAACATTTAAATTTATCAAACATTGTTTTATTTAAATTATCTAAAACAATTGTTTTAAATAGCATATAAAAAATGGTTGTTTAAAACAAAAAGGTGTTTATATATAGTGCCAATATAGTGTATTATTAAATACACCATATTGGCAGTACTCGGGATAAAAACTATTCAAGTCAAAAATTAATATACTTATTTTTAATTTATTTTGATTTAGATAGTTTTTCCCAAGCATCATCAATACAATTAAGACAATATTTAATTAAAATGTAATTTATAAAAATGTGGGAATAATGTATAAAGATTTCTTGGTTAGATTACATAGAAAATTGTTATTTACAAAAATAAAACTTATCATCATTGTAATTTTGGATAATTCTAAATTGTACCATCAAATTTTTTTTAATAAATAAAAAAAGAATGTCTTATTATCTTTGTCAATAATACAATCAGAATTTGAATTAAAGTTTTAAGTGATTATTGAAAAAATCAAGTAAAATGAAAAACATCTAATTACTTATGCATTATAATAAAAATGAATAATTTGTGGCTAGTATTACTTAAAATTTAAAATATGTTTAATTAAAAACTAAAACATATAAAACTCAAAAAGTTACAAAAAATGCACATATAGAAATTTTGAGAACAATATTACTATCATCACCCTAAAACACATACTGACACCATGACCGATTCATTTATATTTGAAATCATGTAATATAATATAAATAATAATTAATAAAATATAATAAAACTTTACGCAAGTTAAAAAAATTTTTACCTTATAATTAAACAATAAATTATTTAATAAAATTTAAAACATTTGAATAAAAATAAAAAATAGTTGGGTCCAGTATAGATTTAATCTGACAGTGATTAAAATCACTATCATAAGAAATGCTTCGATGCAAATCTGTAGATAGTGTTTCATTTTAAAAAATTGATGGATAATTACAAAAGCAACATCAACTTCTATTTCCTTAATTATACCCAGATTAGTAATTCTTTTAATTATATATTATATAATTTTTAAAATTAATTGTTTTCAAATTATTATTGATTTTGATTTTTAATATGTTTAAAGTAATAATTTTGAACCTACTTTTTATTGTCCCTTAAAATGAAAGTTTTATTTAAAAAAAAAATGAATTTATTACCATAACAAGTAGCTCAATTTGCAAGTTTGAAATTGACATTATTAAATAGATAAAAATGAAATTGTTAAGAATAATATGCTGTCAGCAAATTTTATAATTACTATTTACAGTATATTTATCAGATAAGTTAGATTTTTTTACATTTTTATCGTAATAGATCACTTAAATAAAAATCATAGTAATCATTTCTAATTAACTTATGGTGTTTAAAAAGATTCTACAATGGAAATATTCAGAATTTAATTAATTTTAATGATTATATATCTAAAAAAACCCATAAAAAAAAGTTATTCAATTTAGCCTATTATAAAAAAATAGGGCAATGTATTGCCCTTATAAGATATTTTAAAATAAAAACCCAGAACACAAAAATAGCATATTTTTGAATACAGTAGCCATTTACACATAGAAGATAGGTCGTCAGGACAAATTTTTTTTTAAATTTTATAGTACATGACATAAGCTTTAATTTGATATATATTTAAAGGACGCAGTATTTCCGGAACATTTTCTAAAATTAAGTTGAAAAAGTTAGTTTTTGTAAAAAAGTTGCTATTTTAATTCCCCCCTAATGAGCAGGTTAAGTGTTAGATTTTCAAAAAAATGATATCAAATGAAAGGGAAATATCTAAGGTTTTAGTATAAAAAAAAATTATGTTAATTTGTTGATTTTTCAAAAAGTTATGGAAGTTTTAAGAAAAAAATGTGAAAAAATTTCGAAAATTAGCGATTTTTAAATTTGTAATTTTTTTGCATATTTCCCCCATTGGCGGGGAATGAGGGAAAATTTTTCAATTTTTAAGGGTAATGTCTTCAACTAGATACGATTTGTGATCTTTTGACGTATTGTTGAAAGAAATCGGTCCAGTGAGAGCTAAGAAAAAGTGGCAACAGACACAAAAAAAAAACACATCATGGTAAAATTAATACCTTCTCAGCATCGCATCGAAGCTAAAAACAAAATTTATAATAATATTATTATAAATTAACTAACAATATTAATAACAAATTAGGAAAAATTTTAAAATTTAGTATTTAATTCTTGTTATCACTGTACTAAATACTTACTCTCATGGCTATCAGCCCCGCGAATAAGTATTGCTGGTGGATCAACTACTGTAAAAAAAATGATTTTGACTTTTAACAAGACAAATACTTAGTTACACTATAGTTTTAAATTCTTAACAATCAGATTTTACATCTTTCTATTTCCTGAACTTAACATGTTACAGAGGGTAGAGGCCCTCTTCTCACGTGAGGGAGTCAAAGATGGTTCTTGGCTAGGTTGGGTTTAACAATGGATTAAACAATTAATAATGGACATTTGCACCAAAGACCAGATACCAACACCAATAAGAAAATCACAAGAAAAATCTCGTTGGCACCCTTGAGATCCAACCCAGGACCCCATGCGTGAAACATAGTTTCCACCCACTAATCCAGGCTGAACCCTTAAGTTTTAAATTATTAATAATTAAAAAATAGAAAATTTAAATATGAAACATAAATATGTACATATATATAAATATATATATAATAAAAACTATATTTAAAATGTACTAAGATCATGTACTTCATTTTACTGACGTTTTGATATAAAACTTAACTTTTTAAAAAATATACAATCGGTAAAAATACAATAATTTACCAAATTTATAGCAAATCCAAGTTAAGTAAATTATAAATAGTCTATATGACCCAGTGTTTCATTGTAATAAACTGATTTAAAATGATTTCAAAATACATTTAAAACATTTTTTAGGTTATGACTTTAATTTAAAGAGTGAACAAATATATTTACCTGTACTAGTATACTGTAAGACCATTGTATAATTTGAAACAAATTAAAACAAATCGTTTTATAATTCTTATCACACACACTTACGTTATAATTTATATGAATATTTATAGTTTAAAAAATATATTATGAGTAACTTTAATGTAGCATCTATTTTAAAAACTGAAAACTAAAAACCACGAAACTGTCATCGAATTGATGAGTACATTTCTCATTGTAGTTTGATTATAAATATTGATAAAAAGACATTTTTCTTATCACTATCATCTGATTATAAATATAAATTTACATTAACTTATTCTGTGAAAATACCTCACAATAATATTTAGCTTTGGTGTTTTGCTGTGGAAGCTTTACTTTTTTTTTGTATCAGACTTATTGGCGGCTGGTGTAACTCTATGTGATTATAATGATTTACTTAGTTGTGTATAGCCCAAATCCAAACACAACTTAGGTTTGATTGGTTTGAGTTTTGTTTCAACATTAAAAATCAATTCTATAGAACAAATTGATCAACTTCTGCAAAACCGACTTTGCTCAACAATACGAAAAAATATCACAAATCGTATTTAGTTAGAGCCTTATGCTTTATGATTTTAAAAAATTCATCACTTAAGAGAAATTGGCTAAACAATATCGATTTTTTATAAAATAGTCGATATTGATACTTCTAGTTTTCACTCATATTGAAATAACTCCTTTAAAAATCTAATACAGTCAGAGCCCAGCATATACTGGATTCAGACTGCTAGATTTTCCGATTGTAAGTCCTCTCCACATAGAGAGGACTTGTATTGGGGCTAAGATAGTTTGAATCTGACGGCGATTAACATCACTTGAAGTCGGAATTTTATTCTCTTGCGTATTTGGGAATATTTTATAATGAACAAATATTATGCATTAAAATCAAAATGAGAGAATATATTGATTCCCATCTTGGCTCCGCCCCAGACATAGGGCTTTACGATCCTACAGCACATTAAGCCCTTTGGCTCATCCTTACGCACGGTAAGTGGTTTGTGTAAGTTTTTTACACAAAAAGTATCACTTCAATATAACAAAAATATAGTATTTAATTATGAAAATGTTTAAAGCATCAATTTAAAATTTAATAATATGTAATATGATATAAATACCGCTGACATTTGTTTCTTGGTCATCATAATAATATAATGATAACTCATTTTTAACACAATCTTGAGTATCAATAATATTAATAAAATTATGTTATGAAGTATTAAGGCTATAATGTTTTACTATAGAATTTCATATTTATTATACTTATAATTTTCAAGGTAACTTTGGAATATATCTGGACAGGCTCGGTAAAAAATGTTAGGTTTTAAATCAAAAAACACTAACAGCATTGAGCGTTTTTCACAAAATGTTTAAACACTCACGAAGTACCAAAAAAAATTTTCTCATCTTTATGAATCATTTAAAAAAAAGCAAAATTTTAAATCTAACATCGTCGATTATTTTTTCCAGCATTTGCTAATTTGTTTAATGTTTTTTTATACAGAATGTTTAGTAAGTAAGGAAACGGGTCAATTGTTATAAACAATGATAACAATAAAAACCTGTTTCCTTTTTCACTTAACACTTTATAATAAGATTTGTTTGGATTTTATTGTTGTTGCATAATAAATTATTACGAAAGAAGAATTTTTTTTCTTCATTTTTTTGTAAAGCATTTTTATTGTATTTATATTGAAATCATTATTAATTGTAATAGTATGGATATTATATAATTCATCATTATATACATTTTTGTTTAAAGGAATTTTTTCAAAACTGTATAAAATTTGTAATTGTTATATTTAAAACATGTTTTTTGATGACGATATAGTGTTAATAAGAGAAATTAGGGAAGAAATTAATCAAAGGCTAGAGATGTGGATATCAGCTCTTGAAGAAAAGGGTTTAAGAATAAGTAGAAGTAAGACAGAGTATATAGAGTACGAGTTTGACAAAGGAGAACACGAGGTAGGTGAAATGAGGAGATCAGTGACAATAGGCGAGGACGTGATTGGAGAGATGGAAAGTTTTAAATATTTAAGGTCAGTTGTGCAAAAGAGCGGTAGTAATGATGAGAATGTAAGACACAGAATTAAGTGCGGGTGGTTGAAGTGGAGAGAAACGTCTGGCGTCTTATGCGATAAAAAAATTCCAATGAGGCTGAAAGGTAAATTCTACAAGACTGTAATAAGGCCAGCTATGATGTATGGTTCAGAGTGTTGGGTGGCTGATAAAAAAGTAGAGCAGAGAATGAGTGTAGCAGAAATGAGAATGCTTAGATGGATGAGTGGAGTGACAAGAGAAGATAGGATAAGGAACGACCATATAATAGGGAGTATAGGTGTAGCGTTAATCATGGATAGGATAATAGAAAATAGATTTAGATAATTTGGACATGTTATGAGAAGAAAAGAATCGGAAGCTGTAAGAACAGTTATAAAATGAATATTGAAAGAAGATGAAGTAGAGGAAGACCAAAAAAGAGATGGAGGGATGCTATTGAATGTGATATGAGGACAGCTGATGTGGGAGATCATGTCAAGTGGAAGTTTAGGATAAGGGTGGTCGACCCCAAGTAGTTGGGATTAAGGCGAGGAAGAAAAAGAAGGAGTTTATTATAAATTGTAGTTGGGTCTTTATGTATCACATTAATATTATTGTTATTAACGAAATTAAAAGTTGTATTATTGATAGGTTACGTGCAGAACCATGTCATTAATATCAATGATAAATATATCATTGACATATTTATCTTAAAATCGTGTTATAATATTTCAGAATTTTATTATTTTTATTAATATATTTTTAATATTGTTTTTTATAATATTTAGTTATGTGTTATGTTGGTTTTTAAACTGTGCGTAATGGGTTACAGATTCAGATTGAATTATTTTATTTGTAATGGAGTTGAAACTTATTGAATTGTTATACATTTTTTACAATTTTGATTATTTGTAATATATTATTTTAAATTAAAAGAAGAATATAAATTATTATTTTATTTTGATATCATTTAATAGTATCAATTATCAATATAAAGTTTCAATTGTAATTATAGTTACCTAATTTCTACTACTAATTTCAAGAAATTTTAAACATGGTAGTGTTAAACTTTAGTTTAAATGAAAGTTCATGTATTCAATGTTCTTTATATCGATGAATTATATTAATAGCACTTAATTTAAAAATTGTGTTTGTATAATGGAATGTAATATTCCCACAAAAACACGACTACGAAAAAGTTCTAGAATATCCCTTTCTTAAAAAAAAAAAGTGCATTTCAAAGTAGTGACATTTATATTTGGGCCTAGTTTATTTATATTTAATTTATGAACACGCTTCACGCGTACGTTCATGAGCAACACTGTTATTTTATTTGTATTGCTTTAATATTTGGCTAGTTGAGAACTAACATTGATATAATATAAAGAGACATAAAAACAGTCAATCCATTGTTAAATATAGAAGTAGGATTGGATAAAGAGAGGCGAAAAGACTTCCTGGTGATGGTCCTGAATGGACCACTATAAGTCTACGAAGAAGAAGAGGACTGAAGTAGACTTATCCACAATATCCAATGAATCCCGGAGAAAATGTTTCTTTTTTAAATTTTTTCTCCCTCGTACATAATACCAAAGTGTGTTTATTGAGACAGTGTTGGGCATAATGTAAATTTAGCCTACATGTAGATATAACTAATTTGATGACCATACTTTTTTTCTAGCGAGAATTATTCTATAACTTTCTAGACTCATTTTTGGAATTATGTTTTTGTAGGCATATCATTTATTTTTGTTTGTTTATATCATACATTATAATTATATATTATAATGAAAATATAATTGCAGAATCATTAAAGCAATAAGAGAAATAGTTGAGCAATAATTAATTAAAATAAGAGATTTTTTGCTTTCAAATATATGGTTGCACTGACGTATGTGCAGCTGCCAATGAGAGTGATGATCCACTATTATCAGGTAACGTGCTATCGGACTTCAAATAATTCCTGTGTATTATTCCATAATACTATATGCTTCTTGTGATAACAATACCCAGACTCCATTGTATACATTACACCATCACAATCAAATACCCTCAGCATCACGTATTTCATTGTTTTCACCAGCTACATGATATTCGAAAATAGTTATTTGTGCGACTATTATTACCAAATTATTTGTCGGATAACTTGATTAAATTCTATACTCAACAATTTAAACGTAATTTTTTATTTAAATCGTTGAAGTGAAATTCATATTTAATATATCATTAACAGTTTATTTTCTTATTCGTCTTTAACATGGTTTTGATAACAATACTGTATGTCTACCTTCGATGCGTGTGTTCAAATCGTTCAAGTTCATGTTTTATTAAAATTAATTAGTGATGGTACCGACTACATTGTTTTTATCGAGACAACTGAAGCGCAAGACAAGATTTAGCTTGACATTTATCCAGTGTGACGAATATATCGCTCATAACGTTTAAAAATGAAGTACTCACTTACTTCAATAGACTTCTGGTGTTACAATAACAAATTTTGTATTACGTTGATATTATTCGTGCCGATCATTCATATGTGTCTATGCCTTACACCAAGACAACAACATGATACCCATACATTATCTTTAGGAAGTAGTAATATATTAGTTGATGATACAATTGTTTCAAATAGTATGAATTCTGGTAATTCATTCCATAGTAGATGTGAACCTATTACCATACCTTTTTGTATGGGTATAGCGTATAATCAAACAGTTATGCCAAACTTATTAGGTCAGCAGCGCCAAGATGAGGCTGGATTTGAAGTTCAACAATATTACCCGTTGGTTAAAATTCGTTGTTCTAATGACTTACAGTTTTTTTTATGTAGTGTTTTTGCTCCTGTCTGTACTATTATTGAGCGTCCATTACCACCTTGCAGATCACTCTGTATATCAGCTCGTAATGGTTGTGAAGCTATCATGAACAGATTTCAAATTGAATGGCCAGACAATTTAGAGTGTAGTAAATTTCCCGAACCAGCTGAACAATTGTGTGTTGGAGAAAATAATTATACAGAAACTGCAACAGTTCAAGCAACACTAAACAATGTCGGACAACAGAGTATTCATTCTATTTTGATTGATACCAATGGAAAAGATTCTACAGTAGACTCTGGTTCAGGTATGAGAAGACATTTCAGTGGGTCTGGAGGGTCACAAAATTCAATTGTTGGATCAATTTACGATATTGGATTTGTTTGTCCTGAGCAATTTCGAATGGAAACAAGTATAGGAAATCAAGGTTATAATTTTGGAAGTAAAAAAAAAGGTTCCAGTTCATCCGAAAGAACTCTGAATTCATTTTATACTGGTGGTTATTCTTTGAGAATCGGTAATAGACAAGTAAAAGATTGTGGAGCACCGTGTGATGCATTTTGGACTCGTGAACAAACACGAGCTTCGAGAAATTGGGTTGCTGCTTGGTCAGTATTGTGTTGTGCATCGTGCCTCTTTACATCGCTGACATTTGCAATTGACACACATCGTTTCCGTTATCCTGAGAGACCAATTATATTTTTATCTTTGTGCTATCTCATGGTATCAATATCGTATTTAATTGGGTGGATGGCTGGTGATTCAGTAGCATGCAATAAACGAAATCTCATCATCCAAGGAACAAATAGCGGTCCAAGGTCATCGGATACAGATGGAGGCTCATCAGAACTTTGTGTGGTCCTATTTATGGTATCCTATTTTTTTGGAACAGCTTCCAGTGTGTGGTGGGTCGTGTTGACATTGACATGGTATCTGGCTGCTGGACTAAAATGGGGACATGAAGCTATTGAAGCAAATTCTCACTATTTCCATTTAGCTGCATGGACTGTTCCTGCAGCTAAAACTATAACTGTATTGGCAATGGGAAAAATTGAGGGTATGTTTTGATATTGTTATTTAATTTTTAATCAATTTGTCAAACTGCCTGATACTAGGCACTGACAATGTGAGACCTTTTGAAAATACAGAGTAATTGATTTATCATTGATCACTCCATTTGTCCCAGAAAAACAATGACTTTTTTTAACTAGAACAAATACATTTTATTTGCTTAGGCATTAGAAAATGTTAATTGAAAAAATAAAATTTATAAGACAAAAAAATTTTTAATTGTTTTTTAAAATTGTAAATATTCTATAATATTGAAAGAATAGAATTGAAAAATCCTTATAAAACATAAAAAAAAGATTGAGATATCTTTCTAGGAGAGATAGAGTGGTCAATGGTAAACTATCAATCCATCTGTATTATTGACAACTTCATTAAACTAATTTAATGGCTCATGAAATATATCATACTAGCAATTGAAATGTACAGAATTTTTTTGAAACTCAATTCAATTCCAATTAAACTGCCAAAGCGGCTATTGATTTTTAAAAACTTTATTCTTAGAATTCAATATCAAATGAGCTTTTAAAATTAAATTAAATAAAATAATAATTAATATTTTCTGGGTAACTTATATTTGTAAAAATATAATTTCAGTTTATACACCTGTTACTTATTCTATTAGTGTGTTCTAAAATTTAAAAATTATAAAAAATATATATTATTAAGTTGTTTTTAATTGAAATATAGGGGATGTACTTACTGGAATTTGTTCAATGGCTGTATGGAGTGATGACACTGCTGTTAGAGATATGATATTAATTCCTTTAGTGGTATACCTAGTTTTGGGTACAGCTTTTTGGATGGCTGGGTTTGTAGCTTTATGTCGAATAAGAACTGTGATGAAACATGATGGCACTCGTGGAACTGAAAAACTTGAAAAACTTATGATACGCATTGGAGTATTTAGTGTGTTGTATACGGTTCCAGCTTTAGCTCAAATATTATGTTTGGCATATGAACATGTCTATCGTGAGTCATGGTTACATATGTGGCATACACAATTGTGTCATGACCCAAAATATGCCATTCCTTGTCCTAGTCAAAATGACCATGACCAAAATTACAGTGTGGTGTCAAATGGCCCTAATTTTGAAATATTTGTTGCGAAATATTTTGTTTCACTTTTGGTGGGATTAACATCCAGTGTTTGGATATGGTCAGGTAAAACTGTGAACAGCTGGCGTAACTTTTTTGCTCGTTTACGTAGTAAAAGACACGAACCTAGTAACAATGTTCTAGTTGGTACTCATGGTAAATCTGAAGCATATGTGTAAATACACAACAATCTTAAAAAGTATCTATGACTCAAAGTAAATTATTTGTGTTAATTTTATTTTTATAAATTTAATTTAAAGAATTTTTATTTTGTTATTAGTATATCTTTGACAATTTTAATGAAACACCTACTTATTAATGAAATGTGTGTATCATACTAAAAAGTCATTACTAATTACTATAGATAAAGTTAAATATTATTGATTTTTAAGTTTACTTAAATATTAAAAAAAAAAAAAAAAAACTATTAAGCTTTGTAGTAACAATTTTAATAAATTTAATTTAATAATAATTTAGTATTGATTTATTTTTGATTGTGTGTTTCTTTATAGGCCTGTTGGCAACCATTAGTTGAATGTTTTCTTTCATAATGGATTTTTCTTAATAATTAAAATATTGTGACATTTAATGCATATCTACTATTTAACTGCATGAAAATGCACTAAACATTATAGTGTTTTAAATGCCGTCCTTATTTTTGTTTGTATATTTTATTTAATATAATTAATTTGGTTTACATTAATAATTATTATAAATTGTTGATATTAATGTGATAAAAATAAATATGTAGCCATTATTTGTAAATAAATACGTTCATTTTTTACTAACCATTATTTATAAATAAAAGACTTATTAATTTTTACTTTTTTATTATGTTTATTGTAGAATTATGATAAAATAATTTTTATAACTTACTTGCTTTTATAAAAAATTAATCTTTTAAATTTATTTATGTACATTGATTTTTTTTTTACTACATGTAAACTTTTCTGTGGCAATATTTTTTACAAAAATCAAATTATTCTTTATGTGCTTGTAATTATAAATATGTTAACTACATACTTTTAGGATTAAGACTTTTTTTTTATAATAAATAAACTTTTATAGTAAAATTTCATCACATTTTTATCCTATAATTATTTTTTTATTATAATAAGTTATATTTATGAGAATAGATATTCCTTATGTAAATTTTTCTAATTAAATTTTTGAACTTATAAAAATCTTGTATTATATCACATTAATTGTGATAATTTTGTAATAATAATAACAATTATTAATGTTATTTATTTAGTTTTTTGTACAATTTAGTAAAAACTATCCAAATAATTTATATCTATTTTAATTATCAGTATTGCACAAATTTCATTCAGAGATTATTTAATATATTATACATATATTGTTGAATAATGGTATGTCCACTATTGGTAATACAGCAGTACACTTGACACTTGACTGTACACAGGTAACTCTGTAATATTTCCTAAGTAAAATAATTTTATTAGTGTAAGCCAAATTAAAATCATACAGCATATTTTGGTTATATTTTTTTAATTAAATTTTAACATTGAAATATGAATACCTGTGTTGTACGGATTAATTGCAATCGATCAATCTCAAGATTTTACAGGATTCTTTATCGATGTACCAAAAATAGAATTAATATTCTCTGTTAGTTTAAATTTGTTTGATTTGGACAGTCTATTCCTTCTTAAGATTGAAGAAGAGTTGGGAAATATTGAAGAATCATCGACTGAGATAGGATTTAGTTGTCATTTGGTGCTTATTACTTATTTTTAATTGCAAACACGAATTTATATAAACTAAATACTAATAATAACATTACAATACTAAATAATTTCTGTTTAATATAAATGGACAATATAAAAAAAATTTTTGTTTAGTCATAGGTATCTTAATACAAATATTACTTTAAAAATAAATTTTATTTCTTTTAGATTTTAAGATTGTCATTACTAATTTCTGGAGGTATTGGCAATAGTGCAAGAAAAACACTATCAAAATTTTGAATGTTGAAATGTTGTGTAAATTTTTCCCTTTGTGGTAAGAAAAAAAAAATTATTTACTTTGCTGTTAAGTTATTGATTGATATTGGTATAATCTCTTTTTTATAAATAATCTAAAATTTTCTATAAACATAAATATTTTCCAATTTAGATACTTTAAGATGTCTAAAAGTAAATTTAAATTTACATTAGAATAATAAATTGATAGCCTCATTTATGTTTGTTTTTATATTTAATAATGTATTTATAGTTCATTAGTTTTAAAGTATTTAATATGTTTATATACAATAACTATATTTTATAAAACTTTGGTTAGGTACAAAACATATCTTATTATCAGTGTTGCCTACCTTACAACAAATAAGTGTTAAATTATTTATTTCTTAAATCAGTTTTATTATAGTAATACAAAAATATTTTTATTTTATTTATAACATTAAAGTAGTATAATTGAAACCTAATAATGATTGCTGTCTGTTTATTACATACGGTAACATATAATGTTAATGTTACGTAAAATATAGAAATGTAATAATTATAATCATTATATAATCTTTAATAATTATGTTCTTAAACATAATTACTGGTGCAGAATCATTAATTTCATATAATAAATAACTAAATAATATTTTTGTATTTAAAAAAAAATTATATTATGGGAAGGCTTAAAATAAATGTAAAGGGTCCTAAAACTTTCATGTTCAGTCGTCTTCGGGTTATAGCTTACAATTGAATGAATAAATAGTTTTACTTGGCAATAGTAAAAATAGGAAATATATGAAATATATGAAATATTTGTCAATACATTGTTCTATTATTAGTAGTATAAATGACGCTTAACTAGCTAATGTCAACAGAACATCTATAGCTGGAAAACTTTTTGATAGTCAATTTAAAATTTTAAAAATCATCACTGCCCCTAACATTTTAAATTTAATGATGTGATTAATTTTGCTTAAGTATTTAAAAAAACGTACTTAAATTTTAAATACATATAGGAGTATACATTTTTTTTAAACGCCTCAAACGCCCAAAATAAAAATTTTATATGAATATTCTATTAGTATTTAAATAATACAATAATACAAAAATAATACATTTACATAAATATTTTACAAAACTTTCATTAAGTATAAAAGTTAAAAAAATATATTTTTTATTTCTTAGTGAATTATTGATTGATTTATGTAATTTATAGAAAGTATAAAGAAACAAAATTCTCTATTAGGAATTTGCCAAGGGACTATACAAGTATGCCGTAAATATTACTAAATAGGAATCCTTTTTTGAATTTCTGTAAGAGTTTCATTCGATTCCTACTTGTATTTATGTGTCCCACGAAAAAATTATTTATGGCCACTATTGAATGTCTCGACTGTTATCCGCGACTAGTTTTAGACTATCGGACTTCCGGATAAACAATGTTTGACAGTATTCATTCGAATATTAACTACTGTACGTTTTACTTAATAGTTTGATAGTTTTCAAAGTATTGAGTCATGCAAATTTCCATTAAAATAAGGTTGGGTATTTAATAATATGCATTAATTTTGTTGGTTTGTTTAAAAGTTAATTTTACGCGCATAATATGCTAAATAGATAGTAATCATATAATCTCGTCTGTGGTAACAGTTCGACAGTCGGAGTAGTTTGGTGTCGATTGTGTACAATAACTGAATTTTATAGGAAAACATTCATTTCCGTCAATAGTTTTTGAAAACGACCGGATGAAACTATAGTTTTAGATAATCGAATAAAGTTTGATAGTATTTACTCGGTAGTGTCCATCACTAGAAACTCCTGAATTAATGTCCTACACGGACTTCTATGAAGAATTCCCATCGCATTCCCAGAAGTCTGTGTGTTGTTAGGGTTTGTAACAGCGAAAATTGGAGGGACGCGGGAGGCGAACTTCTTTGTTAAAAGTATTTTACAATTTTTGTTGTATAGCTGCAAATAATCCTACTGTAAACAGAGCAATAAACATTGCGCGTGTCCTTAAAATTGTATTCAAATAGTTAACTGTTTAAAAAAAAGTATATAAAACTGCGTATCCTTGGTTGACTGGGATTCATGTTCCACTATTACCTTTGTAAAATAGTGATTTATAATGCTTTCGTTCATTCATTATGTTTTTATTGCTACCGTCATCGCTAATTTACATTTTTATTTTTTGACCGCAATTTGCCCTATTACTTACTGGGAACTCCTACTCGGAGTGTTCACATGTAGTATTGCACAATTGTTGTTACCACAACTGGTGGGCAACCCTTAGCAACTGCTTTTTCTTAACATTTTAGTTCATAAAAGTTTTAAAAATAAAAGAGGGGATTACATAACGCTTGGAAAATGTAGGGAATTGCGTGGGCAAGAAAAGTATTGCTATCTACCGGCGTTGGTGACTTAAAATCTAACAGCCAGTCTGTTAAGTAAATCACACTTCGCTAAATTGTACTCGTTACATTAAAAAAAAAAATACTTTTCTTTTTACGTGATGCTCACGTTAATTCTGTCATTCTTTTTCTCGAGGTAAGATAACAATGTAAATGAATTTTTTTTTTTTTTTAATCAAAATTAATTTGTTGTTTGATTGTATTTATAACAAGTGTTCGAACACTTTAATGTTACTCGATTTCACATTAATGTACGTTCGCAATAATAATGGGCTGTAACCCGAGCAAAGTAGAAGAAACCATTGTCAAAAATAATATCAAAAAAGATATGCCTCCCAAATTAAGTGCCAATAATGTAAGTCAGCAACCAGTCGAAATGGTGTTAATACCATTGACCGACGGTAGGTAAAACTAAATTAATTACATTAGTTAATTAATGTATATAATTTTTTTATATACATTTTTTTATCTTTAATCAACACGCATATATTCAAATAGAAACGGGGTTCAAAAGCTCAGGAGTGCTCTTAGGCCAGTCAACGAAGGAGTAATTTTGGCGAATGGCGGAAAAAGTTCCCAACCAAATTTTTTTTTTTTAAAGTTGAATTAAGACATGTATAATGACATACTAAAAGTCCTCATCGATTGGACTTGAGCTTTTTTTTTACAGCCTCACAAAAGTTCAAAAATATTAGCTTTTTTAATTTTCTCAAAAAATATTTAACTTACAAAAAAAAAATTCGTACAAAAGTTGTTTAAAAGACAATTTTAAACAAAAAAAATATCTTATATTTTTTCATTTAAACAAATATTTTTCGAGTTACATTACATTTAATATGAGTACTAAAATTTATTTTCCAATTTTTTTCATTTTACGGTTACTTCATTATACATGTCTTAATTCAACTTTAAAAAAAAAAAAATTTGGTTGGGAATTTTTTCCGCCATTCGCCAAAATTACTCCTTCGTTGACTAGCCTATCTTGTGTACCCTATTAGTTGTGCCAATGGTTAAGACTGTAGTTTCAAATTGCATTAATAAACTATAGATGTTTTATTTCACTATAAGATGAAAAATAGATTATGCGATGGGTTGAAAGAATAATATGAATATACTGTTAGAAATTAGTATAATAATTGTCTTTTAATGCGGTTAAATTTTCTTTTATTAGGTCGTTATTAGAGTAGTGATTTTAAAATTTCTAAAAATTGAATTACAATGATTCATTTTGAACATTGTAAACATATGTAATTTCATTATAATATTTAAATATAAACAAGTAGAGTACAGTAAGGATCTAATGTAGTAGAGTCGAGGAGTGTTTTTAGATTAATTTTTAATGATACCTGTTAGTGATTAACATCACTATCGTAAAACACTTCAATGCGTATTTGAAACCAATTTAAAAAAAAAATCAATTTTATTCACCAAAAACGATATGATGATATTTTACATATCTACACAGAATACTCGCAGAGGACAAGTTTTTGGAACATTTTAAATTTTTAATCATATTTACATTAAACAAGCTCTAATTTGAAATAATTTAGAATGATGCCAATATTCTGTTATGGAAAAAACTACAAAATCAGTTATTTCTATCGGAAATTGTACGATTTTTGGCTTTAATAACTGATACTAAAAATCATAATTTCGGATAGTTTTTCTTTTTCATCTTAGAGTAGATTGTATTACCTTAAATTCGATATGAGTTCAAACTAGTTGAGTTTTTTGAAACTTTATCAAATATTTGGAGAAAAAAAATATGACTTTTAAGTAGTGATGGGCATTTTTGAACATTAAACTATCGAATAACTATCCGAATTGTTTATATACAACCGAACATTTTTTTTTTACCATAAACTATAAAATATTTAAAAAAATATCGAATATTTTTAAAAACTATTCGATTATATTATGCAAATATCGAATATTTTTACCATTCGAATAGTTTGAATGTTACTATTCGATATTTCTCATCACTACTTTTAAGCCTCTACTAATAGATTAAACAAAGACTGCAGTACTTTGTTAAATGATTCGATTTTCAAAAAAAGTTTTCGTCTGCAAGGCAAATGTTTGAAGTAATTAAAAAAAAAAAAATTCGCAATAATCCGTCCAGTTTTAAAAAAATTATTTCAATATAAATTTAAAACTAAAAATATGAACAATGATTGTTTTATATCGATTGAATTTATTTTGTGATTTCTCTTTAATACCGGGACTTAGGAGAGTTTTTCAAAATCATAAACTACATTATTTACAATAAAACCTTGAACTATTGACTCAAAATTTTTAAAGATTCTATAATTAAAAAATAAAAATGTTATCTATCAGAATGTTAATTCAGAGTAGTCATTGTTATTCTTAACACTGTATAATTCATACTAAAACTAGACGTGAAAAAATCGTTTGCACTACTATTTGTACTATTTCACTTAAAATTTTTTTCTTTTATAAATTCTTGGGCTATGAATCATCTTACCTTGAATTAGTTTTATTGGAAACTCAATTTAAAGTTGTGTCTCGTCTGATTTTGTTTGTTGTTTTTTTGCTTTTTAGCCCCATTAAGTGACATAGTAACCTTCCGAAAGTGGAGGTTTTCTATATACCATTGACACTCCGGGATGAGTGGTTAATCCGCCATCGGAGAGACGAAGGATTGGAAAAACTCCAATTACCAAAATAATCTCTTGCTCGGCAAATGAAGCCACCTGTAACCGAGTTTCGAACCCGAGGCAATGCGCGTCAAGCACTGCCGCGTTACCGACACGTCCAATTCACCCTTCGCCTGATTTTAAGTGATGTTTCGGTTAAACTCCTGGCAAATCATGTCATAATTGTAACTGCGATGACCAATATTAAAAACAAAACAAGCAAATTATAGAAAACGATTTTGAACCTTTTCGAACCGTTTGACATGATCCTATTTAGTGCCAGGAGACTATAGTACTATCGAACCATATTTAGCTAATGAACGAATTTTTTATAAATATTCCAATTATAATATTATAGCGTATCTTTTACGACGAAGTTCTCTCAGTTCACGTATATTCAAAAGGTCAGACTCTACTCTAGTTAAAAGAATACTATCTTTATCAACAATCAATAATTTAACTGCTATCTTTTTAATATTACACTCTAATTGAATCGTTTTATAATAGCGATATTAAGCACTGTCAGATTTTGAACTGGTTTCTATTTTTTTAGTTCTCGTTATGTTAAGTTCCAACTGCACTGTTTTTTTTATAATTTTTGGTAACTTATCTCTCGAATTCACTAACCTACACCTACGTGAATTATCGATAATAATTTATACAGTATATCGTCCTACAATCGATAGTAATTTTTGCAATTATGAGTTAACGGTTTATAATCGAATTGAATTTATCAGTTGACTCTTATCCAATATAATTAATCGGTTATTATCAATGAAATAAACGATTACTCGTATAATTGTATTATTCCCAGTATCGCGATTAGTTTGAAACAAATAATTGTGCAGTCCTAGACGGGGCTGAAGATCGCTTGAGACGCTAATGTTGTATTAAATGCTAAGGAATACTAAAACTTGTATTTTGCAAGTATAGAAAAAGAAATTGATGGTTATTTTAAGATATTACCTCTCCTTAACTTGGTTACGGATCTAGGGGTGACTCCGGTAGGCCGTGTGTTCATTTAATTTGCTTAAAAATGCAAATATATTTATATACATATTTTGTTTTCCTGTATACAGAGAGCAGATTTAAAGAAGCGTAAATTGATAATCTCTATCATGAAAAATTTTTACTCGTTTTTAATTCATTTTGAGCAATATTTTTTTTATCGCTAAAGCATAATCGATGGGGGATCACATCAAACTTAATGCAAGGGGCTCCTTGTAGGTTGATTAATATTTACTATTTCGAAAATTGTAACACGATTTTTTTCTCTAAAAAACAACAACAACAAGATGGTATGAAACGGTGAATTAATAAAAATAATAATTGTATTGTACATCATGACGTGTGGTATCACTTTCATAACTAATGGCGTATTTAAAAGAGGTCAGAAAGAACAATTTTTCCAGGCAGCAAATTTTAAGAAATGTACTTTAGGAGTAATTTGATAGATATTAAAATAATACTTTAATATGCGCATCAGTACGCTAATTACAACTATGAAGTACTTATTAATTTTGTTAATTCATTAGGAGTGTATTTGAATTTTACTACATTAAAAGCCTACACTAAAAAAACACTCCCGTCGTTAAATTTAACAAATGCATCATCATAATAATTCCAATTAATTTTTAATTAATTATTTTTGTTAGAAGAATAAAAAAATGATCAAATCAACAAATATTTTGTAAAATCGACAAAAAAAAATCTATTTATTTCAAAAAAAAAAAAAATTATATGACACCATTGATAAAAATTTGTTGATTTTACTAAATTTTAATCGGTGTAGCGTGCTTTTGCGTGTTGACGTATTATAATTTTGCACTAAATTTTATTAAGTTTAAAGTAGGTAGTTTTTGCTCTTTTGGCTAAGTAAATAGCGGCGGTTTGAATTCACAACGAATGAATGAAATGTGGATTCCGGAAGTGGAAACGGTCAATAACGGTGTGAGAGAATTCACACGTTTTGAACTCTCCGCTTGGGTACGCTGTTGGCTACTAACGACTAAGGGTGAAATGTGGAACTTAAACCAGCGCTATAGCGGTGAGGTGTACTCCAATACTATTCTTCGCATTCACGACGTGGGGTTGGGGAGAAGTAGATCCGAGCAGCCGATTCATAATTTAGCGCGAGTGGTGCGTACTCTGCGCGCGGTACCATCGTGTTACGTTCGTATCTGTTTTACTGCCGTCGCTGCAACTACACTGACCGAAAGCCCTGTTCTTTTAGTTGTTCATATCGCAGGTCAAGGCCGTCGTAGTCGCACAACGAGAATTAATTGAAAAAACATTTTCGATAAGGCGCGCAGTTATAGTTTTCCATTTTGTTAGCAGTATCGTCGGTTGACGATACGCTGTGAAACGTGCCTTTAAACTTCGCAACACAATCATCGGCGACGAGCACCTGCCGTAAAACACCTGCTACCACCTCCGTGCTCTGCAAAGCAATAAAGGTACTTGTTATGTGAATATTGTTGTTTACAGTAGTGCATCCACCACCGTATGCGTAGCATCGTGTATACGAGTCGATACGGATTGTTTATTTTATTTAATGATTACGTCGTTCGACGATTAAGGTATGGATTAATCGAGATAATCCGATTAGCCAACGTGAGTATTTACGGACTGAAATCTTACTGCATTATAAAGTACGGAATTATCTATCGCTTTACGGTGCCCACCGGTTTACCTAAAAATCAAACACAAGCCAACGATTCAAACTTTATTGCCGAATTCCGTTCGGTTAAAGTCGTTTTTGCGAACGCAAACATTTTTTTTTAGTATTACTCTTGGACGAACATTTCAAATGTTAGGGTTTTTATTCGTGAATTCTCGTAATTGTCCTGTCATTTATAGTAGTAACACAAGGGGGCAATATCGTTTTCAAAAAATACAAAAGGTGGGCGGCCTTGGTCGAATACAGTGGGGCGACCTGCTGACCTCTAATGACCGACACCCCCGCATGTCATCCCTTTGCCTAGTGATGCTCTGTATATGGCGGTATGGATCGATGCCGTCACCCGCGCGCCGTCGCTGCCGCATTTCGAACTTATATACTACCATATGCGTAACATACACTTGCTATGAACCTACACACATATGACTCTCGACTTTTGGTACTGTTGATGGCATTAGTGGGACTCGTTGTTTTCAAAAAATAACTGTTTTTACACTGTACAATCCATTTTTATCGAAGATAAATTCCTTGGGAACGATTTTTTTTCCAATTCAATTGCACGGTCGAGTTATCAGAAAAAATAAAACAATATTAATCAAACCGGTTGTTCAGTTTTAAGAAGTTAAAGTCTATATTTTTACAATATCGGAAATAATCCAAGAGGCAGCGGTCCTTCTTGTCGCCACCCCCTCACCATGTAAAATTGTACACGTAATCATGAACGCGTCACGCCGTAAACAATATCTCTATACGAATTCATTTTAGGTATCTGACTTTAATGTTTCTGTTTGATACGCATGCGATTTATCGTGTTACTGCTACGAATACACTTGTATAAATAATTCGAAATTACGATATTTTTAATTTGTCAATAATTATACTATGTACTGAACGTGATATACATGCGGCAACACGTATTTTCTTCAGAAAAATATTCAATTTTATTTTGGTTTTGTCGTGTAGCATAAACACATTTTTAACTATCAAAATAATATTTCATAAAGAATTTTACTTTACAAAATATTTTTATTTTCTGTGTGTAAATTGGTATACTATGAATTTTGACTCCCCAAAGTGTGTAGTATACTATGACTTCATAGAGCATAGATTGTACGTTAAACAAGTAAATTTGGTTATTTTGGCAAAAATACATATATATGGCTCCCGAATAAAAAAGGAGGTGTCACATTTATCGTAATACTAGATACATTTTCCGATCGATTTTTGCTCTTATACATTTACTCAATTTTTTTGTGTTTTATATATTTTTTGTCAGGTTTAGTTTGTTGTTTTTATAGTTGTTTATGTGAGATTTTTCATAGAGTAATATCATCAGTAAATGAACATGGCCGTTGAGCGAACACCACCGAGTTTTTAACTAAAAAAATCTGATTGTAACAAGTTTTTATGACAAAGATAATATCTAAATTAAATCCTACTGCGAATTCACGATTTTCACGATACTATATCCTCTACTGATCTTCGCTGGAGAATTCCAATATTATACATTCAATAATGAATTAAAACGTTCGTGTTATTTAATTATAAATATTTTTATATTATTATTGTAGAGAATTTTCCAAAGACAAACATATATTATTAGTGTCTAATACTATTATGATATTTAAAATGTGAGTTTAATCGGTGATGGTTTCTCCTATTCCAGTTATTCGTGTCAAACTTCTAGTAGGAATAGGGTGCACAGTAAGAATAAAATATATTTTAATATTAATAGGCGCACCATTGACAAGTTTAGTAAACTTGTATTAAAAAGTTGCTAAACAAAGTTATTTCAGATAAAAAAACTTATGTCAGTCAAAATACAGATTTCACAATAAACTTTAATTAAATTAGTAAAATTGTAACAAATAAAACAAAAAATAAATAGTAGGCCGTTGATGACAAAACGGAAAGGTTGAAATGTCGCATTGGATACCGAAAACCGGAGAGAGCGTCGGGCATCGGCGCTAGGGTTGGCCGCGGTCCAGTAAATAGATTTTGCACCTTTGTTAAAAAAGGAGATACTCTTATCACGCTACACTCTCGCAATATAAAAAGACGGCTGACGAGAGAGAAGAGGTAGAATCCGTGTATTAAGCGTATCGCAAAATATACTGTATCGTGTAAAGATTAAATGTTTTCAATTTTTGAAGGTAATGTTTTCAATTGGATCTAATTCAGGATCTTTTGGTGTGTGGTTGAGGGTACCATTATATTGTATTACATATTTAAGAGTATACAAATTTTATTATTAATTTTTTTGATTTTTGATGTTTAAAAATAATATTTTTAAATGTTTTTAAAAATGTAAAATGTTTTTTTTTTTAAGAATTGTTTGAGTATATAAGATTTTTAAAGGAGGCTCGAAGTAACTTTCCATATAAATAAATAACTCTCTAAAAATTAGACAAATCTATTTTCTTGTAGTACATTCGTCTCTGAGCGTTTTATGATAGTGATGTTAATCACAGTCGGTTTTAAATAATTACTGGTGTCTACTATGCCAAGATTATGTCACTATGATGGGTCTTGACTGTACTAAGTTTATATAGTCTTTTTTTATATAAATATGCATAATAATTTCTTATCCTAGTTAAATAATATTTTTTATTGTTTCATTAATATAGACAAACCCGATCGAAATACATTGAGCAGCAGCAACAGTAGTAGTAGTAGTAGCAGCAGCAGTAGCAGCAGCAGCAGCAATAGTAATAACAACAGAAGTTATAAAAAGAAAATAGAAAACATCAAAATGAAAACGGCTGAAGACGTAGTCGATTTTGAAAAAGAATTCAGGCCTGATGACACAGGTAAGTGCGAATAAATATATATAAATGTTTATAGGAATTTGATTATTAAAATTATATTAAATAAAGAAATATCGAGTGCTTTTATTTTGAATTTTATCATCGATTATACATCTATACTGTTTATAAATGGGGGAAACTTGTAGTTGATTTAATATAATTAGTTAGTGAAAATGTGTTATATCTCTTGTAATATTAACTATTTATTAATTTCCTCGATAAAGTCGCAATTTATGGGGTCTAAAGGGATAAAGCCCTCAAGTTTTACTAAAACATCCCACCAATAAAAAATACATATAAATTTACAAGATTGTGGAACTTCAATTTTTATCGTAAAAGATGCATTTAATTATTCAACTAGCCTCTAAAGATAATAAAATTTAGAAATAAAAAATTGAAAAATCAATAGCGGCTCTAAAATATCGATGTTTCTAAACTTATTGAACACTGTATAATTATTACTAAGAAAGGAAAAACTAAAGTTAAGATATCTTAACATTTTTTTCAAATTGCCTCTACGTTATATATATCTTTTGATTAATCCACTTATGTACGGATGATTGATTAAATATGCCCCATGCAATATCTTTAAAAATATAAAAAATTTTACTTATTTTCTTTTTTAAAAAATTATAAATTTAATTATGCCATAAATTAAAAAAAAAAATTTTTTTTCATATCCGGGGTTGGTATAGAACAAGAGGGGTGCTCTAATTCTATATTAATTTTAGTTTTTTAAATGGATACATATATATAGTTTTCATACGCGGGGTATTATCTAATTAAGAAAATGANAATTTTAGTTTTTTAAATGGATACATATATATAGTTTTCATACGCGGGGTATTATCTAATTAAGAAAATGACTGGTTGATCTATTGATCTATTATTTTAGAAATCATTATTTTGTATTTTAAAACATTTTTATTTCCTGACGGGAAGAGTAGTGAGGTGCAGAACGCTTAATAACAAATGTAATAAGACCCGCACCTGCAGCCATTATTTTAAATTGTTATTATTTCAAAAAATACTGATTCAAAAGTTGTTATTGATTAGTTAACATCTTAATTAGATAATTTTCCATGATGTGTGCCAGATAAATATACAGCGGAGAACGACGACTTTTATAACTTTTGATACAATTAAAATTGCATTGCAATTTTTTTTAATGATAAAAAAAATATATTTTTAAATATTAAAATTGCCAATCTTTAGCTCTTTTCTTATAAAAAATTTAACGGATCGATAACAATTTTAGGACAAGTACTTGCTGAATTACAAGAATTTTAATTCTGTTGAGTGGTTGGGTTTGTGATATTGGTGAGTACAGCTTACCGTACTGGTGTACGTACACACCGCCTACGCTCCTCACCTACTGAATGTATTAAATGCATGTAACTCAATAAATATTTATTCTGAACTTTTTATCAACACATCAATATTTTTAGTAAGAAAAGGTTAAAAAAACAACTATTTTTAAATAAATAAAAAAAAAAAAAATTATTATTATTAAAAACAAATAACAAAAAGTAAATTACAGTAGAGATCCAGTAAAGTGGAGTGGTTGAAATCACTATTAGAAAATGCTTCGATGCGTATTTACAATAAAAAAAAATGTATCATACCTAACAAAGTTACATAGTTTTTGATTTTAGAAGTTGTGATTCATAGACTTCCTCTTTAAATCACCGAGACGTTTTTCTTTTTTCAATTCTATAGTACATAAAAAACATTAAATTAAATTTAGCTTAGAATGGTATAGATAATCCATTCCTATGTAAAACACTTAAAAATCTGTTAATTTTACCAAAAATTGTATGATTTTTGGCTTTAATTGTCAATAACGACAACACTGTACAAAATTTTTTGCACCAAATGATACGGTAGTAAATTCTTAATCGAGAGCATTGCTTGTTTTGGAATCATATAATATTCAGATTGATTCTAGTTATAGAGAAAATCGCTAATTAGTGAAAATCAGGTAATTACGTTGTTAATTACTTATTAAAAAACCAATTAAAATTTTAATGGGATATATTTAAGAAGTACTCATAAATTTCGAGATCTACATATCAAAACTATTATATATGGTCTTCAAAATTGATTTTAACGGTCATTTTACAAAAATAAGTCATTACATTCTCTTCCTAGTGCCAAAGTCATATACTGGTTAATAGTTATAATTGTACGGTGGCTATAGTAACTTTAGCTCTCCCTTGGCGTACCTCACTGATTAAAACACAATTTTAAATTTCATATAGTCACTTAATAAGAGTTATTTATCAATGAATGAGAAATAACTAGTGCTAGGTTAAATGGATTATGTATAATATATAATTTAATACAATTTATTAAGGTTATTAATTTCTTTAACAACAATGATACATGATACCCAAATAAAAAGATTTTTTGAACGTCAAAAATATACAAGATTATGTCACATAATTTATATTAAATTTATTTGATATTATAATTATAGATAATTTTTACATAAATATTCGGATGATATTAAAATTTTGAATGGTAAGCCACAGATTTTTAAAAATATTATAAAATATTAAAAAGAAAAATGTTTTTTTGATATTTAAGCAACGCAATAACTGAGTTAACGATTCAATTTTCAAAAAAAAAAAAGGCAAATGTTTAATGTATTTTTTTTTTACGCATTATAAGCCCATTAAAGTATATAGCGGCCTCCTCCAAAGAAGGTTTCTTAATTATTGATACTCCAGGACGAGTGGTTAGTCCGTCGCCGGAGAAAGGGATGGTGACTCCAATTACTGAACTGATCTCTTACTCAGCTGACAAAGCCGCCCGTGACCGAGTTTTGAACCCGAAGCAGTGCGGGTTCAAGCACTGCCGCGTTATCGACTCGAGCAAAAAAAAATTTATATTTAAAAAAAAATTATATTTCACGCCTGTTCAGTTTTCAAAAAGTTAAAGTTTCAATATAAAGTGAAAACTAAAAATATCAACTTATAATTTTAATAAACTGCATAAGAGTCAAATAAAATTTACTGTTTTATGACGACTGTAATTTTTTAGGATACTTCTTGTTATTACAAGAAAAAAACACATTAAAGTAAAACCAATATTTTCTCAGCTACGCATTGAAGTTAAAAATAGGATTTCAAAGTAGTGTATGAATGTGTTAATTGTTAAAAAAAAAATAATAGCGAAATTTTACTCGTATCAGTAGTTAAACCAGAATTGTCAATTAGATTTGTTCCACCTTGAATAAGTTACTATTTAAAAAACATAAATGGATATCTATTGAAAGAATTAGAGAATAGGATAACAATATATATATATTTAATTAATAGTTTAATATTAATATTATAGTATTATAAGCTTTTAAAAAGAAAAAATGATGTATTATTTTAGCTTCAATGCATTGTAAAGAAGCTAATGGTTATACTTTGTTGTGTTTTTAGCTAATCAAATTCTTGGATTTATCAGTCACATTTTATTGAAATTGAGATTTATTTGCCCGATATCAATTGTTTTTATTATCTTGAATTTGTTTAAACGGTCAATGTCTTTGTGTTCATATAACAATCAGACTACACATATTGACAATTTTAATAAATGCCAATCGAATTTTACGTTATTTTGATAAAAATAACGTAAAATTAATGCTCACTTCGAAATTACCTTAATCATAAGCTTTCTCTCCACTAATAAATACAATTTCTTTCTCACAGAACTATGTCACGCAGCTACAAAAATACAAGCTTCGTTTCGCGGACATATGACGCGTAAACAGCAAGCCGCCGGTAAAGACGAACAGGGTGTTGCTTCTAGTGCCAGTTCTGCAGTTGATAATCTGCAAACAGAACTTAAAAATGTCGATATTAACAAGGTAAAATTTTCAAATTTTTTTTATAATCTTAAGAAGTACTGAATTACCACTAGGTACCATGAATTAGTGTCTAGAGAACCACATTTAGTTGCTTGTAACTTATTTAAGATATCACTTTCTCAATTGTTTTTTAATAATAGTTATATTAATAAGGGTTATCAGTGGCCTAACCGGGAGGGGTTAAATGGGCTAAACCACAACCCTACGAATTATTTAATAAAATGGTATGTTTTAGAAGGATTTCGAGTAAGGAAAAGCAAGATTATCAAAAATAATATCTTATATAAAATAAAAAAAATTCTTCAGCCCTTCTCCGTAATATTTCTAGCTGCATCACCACTGATTTATGTATTTTTCTATTATTTTTTTAATACATTTGCATTTTAACAGTACAAGCCAAAAATTACTACACATAAGAAAATGATGATTTTTTAGAATTTATTAAATTAAAATCGACTACTTTTTTTTATCTAATTAAGTATTTTGAACGTCATTAAAATTAAAAAAAATTCTTTCTAAAACGAAACGTAGGATTGTTCTCCCTCACACTGTCTCTAAGTAAAGCCCTATACCATGATTTTTTAAAATTTTATTTTAATATACAATTTCTAGCATATTTTGGTACTGATAAAAATAATTATATTTAACTTTTAGCTATGTGGCTAGAAATTACTGAAATGGCACTTAAACAATGTTTACTCATAATTTGTATAAAATATTATCTAAAAATGCTACATGCATCAAAATCAAGCAAAAACATTTATATCATTTTAATAACATTATTATATGTCCAATAGCGAATACCGGTGGACAAATACCGAATACTCGTTAAGTTCCCCGTTCACACTACTTGAGAAATACTAAATATTCGACAAATAGACGAGTAATGGGTACCCTGGTATATAAATTTGAAATTAGGCTAATAAAATCAATAGTTTTCGATTAAAATAGATTAATAGACTACACAAATTATCTTTTCTCATACGTATTCAAACTTTTGGTCTGCCTGTACACATGATCATCGGAGGAAGAGTCTATATGATTTGTTATATATATATATATATATTTGTTTATATGATTGAAATTTGTTCATAATATGTATGTTATGTACATATAAATAAACCCTCTGTATATTTGACCCCTCCCGGAAAATATTCTGGATACGTCCCTGTCTGTTTATACAAATTTTACCAAGCATATTGAACACGGTCAGGTACATTTACGGTGATTTAATAACAAAACAGCAGTTTTATTATTGTGTAATTCCTATTGGTGACTAATATATTTTTTCTGCGTTTGCGTTTAGGATCAGGCGGAAGAAATACTCGACATGGATTTGGCCGATCCAGAGTTGCACAAGGCGGCTTCCAAGATACAAGCGTCGTTCCGCGGCCACAAGGCTCGGAAGAACGACGATGCCAACAAGCAATAAACCATCGTTCAATTATCACTGTTGCCGCCTGACGTTGCGCTCTTTTTCCGCGTAGAATTCCCAATATTGTCGTTGGCAACTTAACTCTCGTATTCTCGTAATATTGAGAAAGGGCACAACGTTGTATAATAGGCGGATCACATCCTTGTCATTGTCTCAACACTTTTCTTTAAAATAAGGCCGGACATTATTCGCTTGAAATCAACTCCGATTATTCAACACCTACACTAAGATTTACGTTATAAATACACACCAAAGTATTTGAATATTTGTACAATCCTTATTGCGTGCCATGGCAACGTTAAGTTATTGTACGTCATCAACCGCTAATGAACTATAATAAAAAATTCCGACTTCACCCTTTCCGTTCCTCCCTCGCAGGACGTCACAGTCGTTACTACCTGGATCAATCACACTACCAATCTCCATAGCCACTACTACTACTACTCGACACATCACCGTCAGCATTGCCAGTGTTATTGCCATTGCCGGATACATAATTGTTGTGGTCGAATAGCCAAATTGTCATTGCGGTAACATTTCAATGTAAATCACAAAATATTAAAATAACCTATACAGAAACGAACACGCGAACGTGCCATATAGAAAATTCAACACAATACACATTGTAGTGTAGCAATAAGAAGCGCACAAAATATAATATTTGTATGTTTGCGGTCAATACTATGTGTATGTTTATCTGTAATTATTTTTAATTAATCAATTCGTGTTATTTGGTAGCAGCAGGGTAATCAATAAACTATGTATAATGACATATATATATATATATATATTAGAAAATAATGTGGGGGGTATAAAAAACCTTCAGTCACAATTCCATCGGAAAAAAACTACGAAAGATATAATGGGTAGAGTAATAACGATACGACGCAAGACGAACAGTGACGTGGAGACTGTTTTCTTAGTACTACTTTTCGATTTAACAGTAACTAATTTCTTTTCGATTAGAATTTTTGTCCGGAGAGTTGATGACGAGGACCTCTGAATTAAATCGACGCGTAGTCACTTTATTTTTACTCGTATAGTTTATAAAATCGTTTACTTTTCATTCGATTTGAATAAGTGCTTTTTTTTTTTTAAATTTTTAATCGTTCGACAATATTTTGACAAATCTGATTTCAATTGTCGAGCTTCAAGACGGAATCGTTGAAATTCACAACTCCCGATGGTGTGCTAAGGAAAACGTACATCCAAAATAGATACGAAATTCTTCAAACTTTTAAGGTCTATGTTTATTAAGTTGCTAAGTGGCCACCACCGATGGCTTATGATATTTTTGAATCTATGATAAAATTTAGCTTCGATACGAAGACGAAAAGGCATTAATACCACCTCGTAGTGAAATTATTTTACTATGATGTAGATTTATTTTTTGTTTTACAAATTTTACCAGCTACGTTTTTCTTTAGCACACTCGGACCGTATAAAACTCAATGTATTTCGTCTATATCGTTCCAACGTTTACATAAAAAACATAATATTTCCTATTTCTAATACCAAGCTTTTTTTTTCATTATTATCAAATATTTTAAAATTATTTCTGAAAGAGTAGACTTATTGATTAAGAAGTCATTGTTGTCGGTTGATCGATAGTAATTCTACTCAAAATACCTATGTAATTCATAAATAAAAATATAGGTAAATAAAAATAAAAAACAATAAAAATAGTCGATTTTTATTTACATGTTTTAAGTTTTCAATAATATTTTATAATTAATAGAGCTTGGTCACTTCGCCAAAGTAGTATCGTATCGTTAGAGTTCACATATCGATTTTATATATATATATTTCTTTTCATAAATATACGAATAATTTAACGAACCGTGTTCAATTTTGAAGAAAAGTTATAAATTATTATAATACTTTTTTAATAAACTTTTTAGACGTCGCAATTCGTTTCGGAATTAATTCTTTTAGTAAATGATCGTTGAATTATAATTTATTCAAAAACTATATTAGCTACATTTCACGTACGCGACTGAAAGTTATGTTATTATTTTATAGTCTATTTATATCAGTGTTATAACGCTTTATATTGTTATAAATGAATTAATTACTATTAGTGAATTTTAATTTATTAAACTTGTTGATATAATAAATAATAAATAAAAATTAATTATTTATTATATATCCTATTTTATTTATCAATTTATCATTACATTATTAAAATTTTAATGTTTAAACTTTGAAGATCGTAGGTGGTTGAATTTCTTATTTAAAATTGCATTTAACATGTTTTTTCAAAAAAAAATTAATCGCTGTATAGAATACGTAACAAACAACAATTTTATTAGTTCTACGAAAGTAGGTACTAACAAGATTTTTACAAATAGTTAATCGTGTTGTTTAATATAATTTTTTTTTCTAAAATGATATTATTATTTTAGGATTGTATTTGAGAGTTTAGAGTGGGGTGGCTATAAGAATTTTGGACACAGTATTTTTTTTAGATCGCCCTTTAAATAATATTGGATTTTTATTTTTTCATCGAACCTTTAATTATATTTATTTTGTTAGTATTAATATTGATAGAATGACAACTACCAACATTAGAAATCAACTTTTTTTTTTTATCAATCGTGTTGTTAATATTTGAAAATTTTGCAATTCATTATTGAGATTCACCTCTCAGAATAATAAGAATATTACCTTGATTCCTGGGCCACCCCATAATATAGCTCTGTATTATTGTATTGTAATAAAGCCTTCATATATATATTTGTTAGATGCATAACTACCACAGCTACAATTGTCTTATCGTATATCCATATTTTATTAGTAATTACGTTTTCAAATTTATGTATATATTAATGCGTATTTTTGAAATATAGTTTATATTTATTTTTATTTTATGTTTCATTCAAATTGTAATAATTATTGTAATTTCTCATTTAATTGTTTATGAAATATAGAAATGACTATGTATAGCTTATCATTTGACGATACTTACTGGTTGTATTTTTTTTTTATTGTAGTAATGATACCTCAGTAGAATTGTGTTCTTAATCATAAAGTATACATATAATAGTTAATAAAATCAGGAATGTGTTCAAAAGAAAATTTTGGAATGGACCATTTAACTATAATTTTTTAGATAAGATATCAATAAAATTCTCAGCTTCGCATCGAAGCTAAAAAATCTATATTATATGACGCAATAATATAATAATATAGATATTATAATTTTTTCCAACATCAAAAAAGATATTAAAACCATTAAACCTCATGAGAATTTCTATCTATAGAAAGTTAACTTTTGGTAGTTATCTAGGAAATATATATAAAATCGTCTAGAATTTGTATATTTTGAGTAGTAAACTGTAATTTTTAAATGTTCTATTTAATTTTTGGATTATCAGATTTCATTAATTGTGTCGTTATTAACTAACTGTCCAATCAGGATTCTTTAATCTACAAGCTTGGATACTTATTTTCAAAATTAGGATCAGAGCATATATATCCTATTAAGAATGGGTATCTTTTTCAGATTTAACACATAGAATACAATCATAATAAGTAGTAAGCGGTTCTAGTTGCGATAGTAGTTAACTCCAGCCCATATTAATAAAGTAATTGAATGATTTTTTTTAATCGATATTTGCTATAAAAACAACAAATATTAAAGTTGCCTTATGATTTAGAGGTACTCTATTTGATACCATTATATAATATAAGGGATGGGCCAAAAATTATTTTTTTTAACAGACAAATGAAGATACATTTTTAAGTAATAAAAGGAAAAAATATAATCGTTATTTTAAGAGAAATTTAGTGGCTAGCGTTATTAGTATAGTCCTGTACAATATACGCGAGTTCATACAATATTAAACTAGAGCAAAGTCGATTAACTTAATCGATGTCTGTTTGTTGTCAGTCTGTCGCGAACTGTACTTAGTAGTCTTAAGAGTGCTAGGCTTATCTTCGTGTATAGAATGCGCCACATATAGAAGGTTTGTGAATTTTGAGAAGATTCGATGGCGTAACGTAGATGGCGCTACTTTTGGGATCTTCTCGCGCAGACGATCAACTAAATCTAGAATCTTTGATTCCGATTTTTTAATAACCACAAATATATTGATATTTAATATTATTTAGTTTTAATTAATAACATTTTTAATGTAGTTTTAATTTTAAATAATATTAGCCACAATAATCAATTTTTATTATAAAATTATGGCGGCGTTCGGGCCTTTTGATCACAATAAAGAGTTAAACAAACTGATGAAGACTAAAACGAAAAATAAAATACGAAAACACGCCTGATTGGAGATGATTAATTTTTTCTCAAAAAACGTTTAAGCTTCAAATGAATCCAAAGTTTGGCAGATTACTAAGTAAGTGAAACAATAATGACATTAATTCTTCCAAGTCAATAAATTTCACTCAGGAAAAGTTATATGTAATAAATCATGATCGTAATAGAAGTAGATTAGAAACAGGGTTTATTAATTACATTTAAAGCTTTCTAAGTTTCTAAGTCAATCAAAGAAGGAATGCTTCCAACAAAAATTCATAAATTCGAAGAAAAAGAAAGGTAAAAAAAAATTCAAAAATTACTTTTAGATCTCACAAATAAGGGTTAATGAAATAATTTTAATAAAAGTCAAGTAGTTTCTCTATCGACGATTGTAAAAGACGATGTAGTAAAAAATTATACAAACGTTGTCTTTTGTAATTTATTTTATTTTAAAATACCTTAAAAAGATTTTTGAGTTAGAAAAAAGTTAGATTCAATAACTTCAATAAATATCTAAAACCCCATCACTGTAGTCTTCCCTCGTGTGAAGTAATTTTTTATTCATATTAAAATATTATACTAAGTAATTTTTTTTGTGGCTTTTTATTTTCTCAGATTTCACTTGACTAACTTTTTTTAACGATACATAAATGATCCCAACTACTATTCAGTTAAAAATATTACCTTCAAAAATTAAAAAAAATTTCAACTTTATCAATAAAAAAGTTATTTAGCCCACATTTTCCATATATTTTACATTTTTACTTAAAGTAAAAAATGTAAAATATAAAATCAAGAATTTTCACACAAAAATAGCATTCGGCAGCCATTTTCACCATGAAGACAAAATAAAGTCTGACATTTTTTTTTTCCATAATAAAGTATATTACATTAGATTTAATTTAAGATTTATATAAAAGTGTCAGACTTTCACTTTCAAAAGTTAACGGGAAATAAGAGAAAATTTTTCAATTTTTGAGGGTAATTATTTCGACTAGATACGATTTGTGATCTTTTGATGTATCGTTGAAAGAAATAGGTTCGGTAAGAGCTGAGAAAAAGTGGTAACAGACACAAAAAAAAAAACAAATCATAGTAAAATCATTACCTTCTCAGCTTCGCATCGAAGATAAAATGAAAAAAAAAGGTAAGTTTGATAAACAATAGATAAATAGAAAATTTAACTATAAATACTATTCTATACATATGCTTATAATTAAAAATTTTTATTTACCATTAACTAATAAAACTGCATGACATAATTGATTTTCAAATTATGAAACAAGACAAGTACAAAATTTTCAAACGAGTAACATGCATAAATTAAATAAACAACGTGGATTATTTTTAGATAAACTGTGCAAACATTAAAAATTAAAAAATTATTACTTCAATTGTAGACTTTATACTTAGTGCATATCTGTAAAATAAAAACTTAATTGAATACATGGGACTTTATTGTCTATGTGGGTTTCACTTCAAAGAGATTCACATACAATTGTCATCAGTGTTAGCACTTGGTGCTATTTGCCTGTCATTGAGAATCAATGCGTGATGGACCAACTTCAAGTTTCATCCTTGTTTTGTATTCTCTTATGTCAGTGGCCCAAAATCTCACTCCATACATAATCTTCTGTAAGAAAACTGCCCTGTTTATTATTTCAGTATTTTTCTAGTTGCATCCCCAATTGACGGCAGATGCTGCCTTCATTCTGCTGTACATATCTTCAACTGTGTTTACCAGTTGGGAGACATGAAGTTGAATTTAATTAATTCCCCAATATGTAGGCCATGGTATTTTATTTGATTTACCATTGTGATTCTGGCTTTTCCCATACCAATGGCAAAGCCAGTCTCCCCTTCATGATCATGGCCTTGCACTTTTGCGATGAAAATACAAGGCTAAATCTATTGCCAAACTGAGAAGTGGATCAAGTGTCCTTTTTTTCCTAACTACTAGCTCCCTTTTGGAATTGGCTACTACAAGTATAGAAATGTCATCAGCGTACAGAATTCTTTCCATAAATTTTTGACGATCTTCCGTCAATATAGAATTCGCTGCTATTCTCCACATCTAAGGGCCATAGTTTGATTCTTAAAGACACCCCTTACTTAACAACACTGTTGATGATGCCCCCCTCCTCTGTTAATGTTTCCGTTCTGTTGTTCAGGTAACTTTTCGTCAAGTTAACTGATTTACTAGAGGCGTCGAGTGCTTCCATGTACCTGAATAGTGGAGCCCATGCTACGTTTTCAAACGCACCTGTTACGTCCAAAAAGGCTCCCATAACATATTTTTCTGGTTTGCCTTTGATCCAGTTTATCATCTGGTTTATGGCTGTTTCCGTGTATCTTCCGGTCGTGAACCCATGCTGATTAAGGTGCAGATAGGACTCCGTCTATGCCTTTAGTTTTGTAACCATTAGATGTTCAATTGCTTTGACAGCAACTGGGATAAGACTAACCGGCCTAAACGACTTTACCAGCGAGTCATCTAGTTCGTTACTCTTTTTGATTAACACAACCTTCGCTATCTTCCATACTCGCGGGAATTTTCCCGTGCTGAGAACTTCTTTAGCTAGATTAATAATCCATTGGACAATAGCCAACCAGGCTTTTTGGAGCATTCTAGCCGTTATCCCAAACTCTACTGGCGCTTTACTCGGGTTCATTCTCCATATGGGCCATCTGACATCCGCGTCAGTGATTTTATGGAGTTCTGATGGAACATCCAGTTCTTCCGTGGTTAATTCCCCAGTATTATTCTCTGATGGAATATGTTTTTTGAGTACGTATTCCACAGTTTCCTGGGCATCCCTAGTGTAGTTACCATCATCCTTAATATTTGCCGGTAATGCATGATATACCTTTGATCCTCTTTTCATCCACTTGAAGCATTTGTCTCATGTGTTTTTGTTCGTTAAGGAGGCTAATTACCTCCAGGAATAACTTTTGCATTACCTAAGGTATGCCACATATGCATTCTTAGATCTGTTACACTCAGATCTAAGCGCATACTCATGAGCTCTACCTTTGTTGGTTTCCCAATGCCTGTGCTTCATCCTCATATCTCTTTTCATGTCAGCCAGTTCCACATTCTACCATGGTGACATAGATTTTTGTTTGATGTTTCTTGTGGGAATGGATCTGTCTTCATGTTTAATTAAGGCAGATTGGATTATTGATGCCTTCTCTTCCACCGAGCTGATTATAAATTGCTCATGGATGAGTNCTTCTCTTCCACCGAGCTGATTATAAATTGCTCATGGATGAGTTCTACCAGTTCGTGTATTTCAGCCTCAAATTTCTACTAACCCGCCTTTTTCTAGTTTTATTTTATTCGGGGTATCACTGTACGGTATGTACTGTACTNGTTCTACCAGTTCGTGTATTTCAGCCTCAAATTTCTACTAACCCGCCTTTTTCTAGTTTTATTTTATTCGGGGTATCACTGTACGGTATGTACTGTACTAGTACGTTGTTGAGTCTTATGATAAACAATATCATTCGATGGTCACTAGTGATCCTTCCTGGTTCAATTCGACAGCTATTATTAACAATTATGCTGCACGCACCTTCATTATAGAGGGTGAGGTTAATGTTCATGTTGCCCCTTGCTCCCGAGAAAGTGCAGGGTTGATTACTCCTATTATATAGGTATAATCCTGTTTGATCGATCCAGATCTCTATTATTTTACCCCTTACGTT